CTCATCCTAGTGTAGGACTCAGAGGTGCATATCCACGGTCAGGGGTGTTAACTATAATGAATGTTTTTTGCTTAAGTTGAATTCCCATTCTAGTCAGTGGATTTTGTTCAGCTGTGACAATGTTTGTCAGCAATTATACTTTATAAAGTATGTTGTGGTGTTTTATTTAAAAAACTAGAAGGTAATTTATTTTTATTGGTTTTTACTAACCGTACTTGGTGGTAATGGTTTCCACCTTGAAGTTCTAGAAATACAGTGATTTTATTATATCCAATTTTCAGAAAAGAAAGGCAGTATTAGGTTATTGGAATCAACATAATAACTTTTACTAATGCCATTCGGATTAAAAATAGACTATAGTAAAGTCCATATAACACTAATTAAATTGTAATCAATTAATACCAATGAATATATATTGCAAAACACTTGTCATTTACTAAATATACTGTACAGCAAAATAATATTTGTTGAATTATATTTTACTCTACGTATTTTTGTTGTCAAATAATTTTATAAATGAGAAGTCATTGCGAGAAAAAACATTAACTCTTATATCCTCATATATGACTAGTCTTTCTTAACCCACTAGGTCTCATTATATTTAGTTATTAAAGCGCTTTACTGCTAACCAGTGGAAAATATATTATAACCCTCCCTCCAGCTATATAAGTTTGGACATCGTTTGTATTTATAATTATCCGTAGATCAAAATGAGTGCACATAAATGTACTTCGCCAAATCGCTTGCATAAATAATGGTCTAAGCTGTATAGTATTTCATTCGTCTAGTTAGTCAATAGTTCTTTATTCTGAAATTTTGTTAATTGAGTTGGAAAATTGGTTCCATGACGTGTAGGGGTACCTCAGTCACTTCAACATTTATATACGTGTAATTGAGTAAATTAAGTTGTTGTGGTTAGCTAATTGATGAATTTGGTTTACCTTTCCAATTTTTTAACCAATAGATAAATATGGTTCTCTGCAATGGTTAAGATAACAACCATGTTAGTCAAATAATGTTTGCATACTAAAACTTTAATAAAGAATTATAAAGGAAAGTACTAGAATATTTCTCGTATGGATCTTCTTTTGTGTACCGTATATATTACTTAAATGGAATCAGTGGTGTAGGTTGTAGTCAACGATTTAGAGAGCTTTGATCATTTGGGATTGATGTGTATTTTTGTGAGGACACATTTATTTTGCTGGATTGGTTTACATCAGTATTTTACCAAAAGTAATATTCATCGTGGACAATCTGACGGGGTTGTCAACCAACATCTTGGTGTGAGTAAAGGAATATATCTAAGAATAAGACTTTCACTTCATTAGTGCTACTAGTAATCAAAACCCTCCGTTTAGAGATTCTTGAATCTGAGCAACTGAATAACAGGAAAAATGTGCATTGTCTTGTTTGAGACAACACTTTTCTATTATTATCGTGCACACAATGAGGATCTATGTAAATTGGAGTGCGCGCGTACACGTCATTTTTAAAAGTGCACAGAAAAATACGATCATTCTATCAAGTTTCTATATATGTCTCAGTGATATTCCCATATAACTTATCATTTAATAATAAAACAGAAGTGAGAATCACAGAATGATTTGGAAACTTAAAACGGTGAATAGTCACTGAAATAACACTGTGTCCTAATAAAACTAACATTATCCTCAATATTATCTAGTTTCTAGAGAAAGGCCAAATATTTTTTTGTACATGCAACCTTACTTGGCGTAGGCCATCAAGTGGTGCAATCTGTTAGCTGTTGCATGAAACAAACTGATCATGGTCAGGCTTAGATATTCATGTCTGAAAATACTGAAGCTTAACGACTAGCTCAGAGCTGGTAAGGCTAAAGTTCAACTTAATTTTGTGGTTTCGTATGTAAATATGTAATTCATCTTAGCTATTTCTAACTGGGTAAAGCAACAAACTGAAAGCTGTTATATTCATTATTATTGCGTTAATGGGTCTAATGTAAATGTTGCCGAAAGTATATTTACTCATTTGGATAACCTACCAAGTTTCGTTAGTCAGTTAGCTATAAATTAGGACAAGGCGTATATGTGTATCGGTTCAAGTTACCATACCTCATTAGCACAACAAGATGAACGCCGGATTCATAGAAGTAGTTAATTCGGTGGTGGTAATATATAAAAGAAAGATTGCATATGAGGACATAGTAGAGGAAGAAAGAGAGGTATGAAGTGATTTAAATCTCATAGTTTAAAGGAAGACAGAGAGTGTATACATCTAGGTCATTGTGATCGATTTCGAGTCTTCACCCAGAGTCTTCAACCATTGGTTACGATAGTCATGTGAACCCCAACCAAGCAGTTTGGATTTACCAACACTGCTCAGACTAGAAGTTGGTGACTTCAAGCATTGATGCCACGTTTGGATGTGTTTCGTAGAGATATAATGATCGTGAAAAGGATGAAATCAAATGAGTGGAAAATTTCCAAATAATATCAAGGCTATACGTTTTTATAATTTAATAATTTTATATCATTACATGCCAGTAGTATTTTATCAAACATTATACAACACGAGTCACTAAACTCATGGATGGATTTGTAGTGATTTACTTTTATCACGAGAACACGATTGGTTTAATGAAATCAATTATTATTATAACCAATTGTACCAAAGACTGTTTTAATGTGCTCGTTGTTTAACTGTGCAAAGAAACATCTATTATACTTAATTCGATTGTGACCTCGCGCGAATCCGGTTACGCTCAGTAACCAAGCTTGTATCCTGGCACGATCCCGGTATTCTTTCGATACCACGAGATCAAATTGGTCCATTGACTGCCTTCTGATATTCGGCTTCCAGGCGATTTTATGGATATCCTGGCGTGCGTTTCATTTGTAGTGGTGTTCATAGTCAATTTCGACCCAACACCACGCTACGGATTTATTAGAAACAGTTTTGAAATAGTAGTCTTATTTCCTGCTAACAGCTCTTTTTACAGATATGAAAATATTATTTCTAACATCATGGTAGGCGGAGATCTGAAGCAACTGGACTGGGCATCTTCATTGAATGACTTTAACAGTCATATAAACTCTCTATTTAGAAATTCGAGTAATTCATTTCATATTGAAAAGCGACTGTATTTGTCCGGTGTTGTTTTTTACGATTTTATTTTGGACACGGGAAGTATAATGTCCATCATTTTTTTTTGCAAAACTAAAGTCATTAGATCCTTAAGCCTATCGAAATTTTTATCTCGAGTACTACAGTTCACAGAATTTCTATTCTTGAGTGTTGGAATTTTCTGATTAAAGACGACAAACATTCACACCTAAACTGCAATTCCTTGTCACTGGTTGTGCTCATCTGATTCGTACTGACTCAAATTGCTTTATTTCAGGAATACTTATTTAGCACAATAATTTCAATATTTCTCATTATCATAGTTTCAACCTTAGAGTTCAGACTATTCTGTGGTATTCTGGAGTTTATATATACTACTAAACTGGTAGGCTTATTATAGTGTTGTTGACTGACCTTTTCATGACTTACCAGAACATTTGATCTTATGTACAAGTTACATGACTTTCCGAGTTGATTTGGCCTATTTTTATAATAGGGGTATACAGTTTTACACTAATTTTCGAGCAGAGGTGAAAGATATTTTAAGAGATACCAGTCTTAGATGATCGAGTCACACCTTAGTAAACTTTCGTCGGCCTTTATTGACCTTTTCAAATTTCATCCACTGTGCGACATTCAAAGTTAGAACTTCATATATGACATTATGATCAATGTAGTACGTAGGTTAAACTTAGTGCTGTTTCTTGAATTTAAAAGTCTTATTCTGTAGTAATGAAATAGTACTACGTCAGTTCGGTGATTTTCATCCTGCTCTATTTTTACTTTGTTTACCAACACAAAAAGTATAAAAGTATCACAAATTAAATTAAACGATTCGCTAAACGTAAACGAAATACGTTGATATATAGATTCACTCAATGAAAACGTGAAATGTACGATCTTTCAAATCCTAACGTTAACGTAACGATACAGCCAATTAGCGAATAGCGATTCATCGACCTGTCCAATGAAACATAAAACCCGTACGAGCAGTCTAGAGTCTTTATTGGTCCTACTTCCTGCCTAGCGATGCCTGTTAAGTTCGGAACACTAATCTCAGCCTTTGTAACATGAATCATATATTTCAAACGTACTGGGTTTATTTGCATACCAAACAGACCACATCACTCAATAAAATAGAAAATAACATTTTTACAACATCTAGCCAAAGGTGACTGTGAATGTGGGATACTATAATTAATAGACTAGATATAACTCAAGAACGGTAAATCATATAATAATAGTCTACGGTCCAAAATAAAGCTTTTAATAAGAGGGGCATGAAAACGTATAGTTTAGCTAATTAATAATTATGCAATATAAATATATGTATCGCATACGTTCAAAAATAGTTCTCAACAGTTATGATGCATATTCCTGTCAGGATGTAACCGTTTATAACAGTATATAAAAATAGGAGAACATCATGGTTGCAACTGAATTTATTGTACGTAGACCAGCTGCGATATTGTATACAGGAAAAATCACCAACTGGTGCGATCATTACAGATTAATTCATTATCGTGCTAAAAGACATCTACAAACTTTCTTGATGCAACATTACACTTAGGAACCAAAAAGAAGTTTTGTCAGAAAGATATGCACTTGGAGCAAAAATAATAATAGAACCGTATCTCAGAAAATTGGTAACTAATGCATAGCATGAGCCACTTTTTTGATGTGGATTAAAAATTCTTTTTTAGTGCTGATGTAATCCAGTCGATCAAGCTGCAATGATTCGACTAGTTCAGGTGAATCGACATCTCGTGCATTATAGTGGCTTTAATGTAGGGCAAGCATTCAAAATCTTGTTGTGGAATCAAAGAGCATTAAATTAGAAATTTGTTTCTCTAGTACTTCCCTATATGGCGCTATTGTATGCATTGTCTTTACAAGGAAAAGCGCTTCATACAATGTGCGACCTTGAGGCAACTTGGCACATGTAGGTTCTGCCGCATACTTACTTTTCGTGCATGTATGTTAGTACGAGGTTTAACTGTTGTTAGCACTCCGTAAACTGCATCAAAAAGTAATGATTATCTAATGGGATTTATTTTGATGATTGGATAAATATTATTGAATTCATCGGTGAGACTATAATTTGTGGACGAGGCAACTAGATATAAGATAACAGGAATACTTTGGATTTTAATGGCTTAACTTATAAACCATCCTATGAAATACTAGTTGATAACTAACTGCTGTAAGGGTAGCCTGTGTCACTGCACGGTAATTACCGGTAATTTGGCGGATATTTAGGCGAAAAGTCGGTAATTTGGCGGATATTTAGGCGAAAAGTAGGCAATTCGGCGGATATTTAGGCGAAATGTCGGTAATTTGGCGGAAATTCAGGCGAAAAGTCGGTAATTTATCGACAAAACGGCGAAAAGGAGGGAAATCCGCATTATTTCCTACGGACAGGCGAAAAAGGCGACGTTCTGATGCGTTTTCCACTTTATTTCCCCTTTCGCTACCAAAGCATTTACCTCTTTTTTCGCCTTTATTTCCCCTTTTGTGTTGCTTGGGGTAACTCGTACTCATACTTGAGATCTCAGCCTTTTCCAATAATAGTTCCTCATCTTCACATGCTGCGCAGAGCTGCTTCCAAAATGTCAGTAGGAAAGTTTTAGAATAATGGAGAAATTCGAAAGCCGCCTAACCTACTTGCTGAAATGAAACAATGGAGTAGTAATTCTGTTAGGGAAGACTCACGCTAGCTTTTCTTTGTTGATAAATGTAAATTTCTTTTCTGTAACGATGGCTGAGAATAACGTTTTCTCTGACGTATGTTTTTGCACGACATATCGTTTTCTGCTTGACTGTTACCAATTCTAGTTTAAGGTTTTTCTGTTCTCAGGACATATCTTGTTACTCTACATAGTTTCAACTTAGGAACACTGAAACAGCTAGCTTTTTCTTCACTTCCGTCCTATTCCTGAATTTATTTGCATTGGGCATAAGTGTTTCGTATCAGTATTCGTACTATCGAGTTGGCATTAGTTCCTATTCGTATTAGGAAACGTTCTTTCATTCGTTATTAGTAAATTACTGTAAACCCAAACAAAGCAAATCCTAGATACGACAGTAGATATACCTCGCTTTTGCTTGAGGTTCAGTACGTTAGTAAACTTCTCAACTATAAACCTTATCAAGTGTGAAAGCACATTCATGTCTAACAGATCAGTCTCTCTGGTATCAAGAAATGCACTGACTACTGGCTCTGTTTAAGTATATGATGTGGGACAACGACTTGATCATTCAAAAACCACCGTATTATTGTCTACTAGACACACGGTGTTGTGAGTCTTTGGAACTATTTGATTAGTAACTCACAAAACTTATTTTTCTCGTAGATGTAAAACGTAACTTATCGGCGTTAATGCTTAACGTAGCCGTAGAGCTAATGCAGTCGATTGTATTGAACACTGGTTACGTTGATCACAAAATTTCATTGACTAATATAGTTGAAACAGCTAGTCAGTCGCAACGTAGAACCTGCTACGTATGTGTATCGTCTCAAGTTGTTATACCCCTTTTGCACATAGCGATAGGATTGCCAGGTCAAATCTCAGACTAGTAAAGCTAATAACAATATCAATGGTAATAGAAAAAATTAGTCATCGAGGATATGATTCAATAAACCACAAATTAGTTAACTAAAAATATTACGAGGAATTCAGTGGCTTAGAATTTAGGGGAAGACAAAGAATAAATCTATTTACACTATTGTGAACTATTTTGAAACAAATCTCTAACCACTGGTTATGATAGTTGAAATATGTATTACGCATACCTAGCTGTCGCTCACTGTAAAGTTCAGTGGTGTGTAGTCTAGTAGGTAGGTTGATAATACTGTGGGAGCTACAAAAGTAAGACATCAGTTCACGAAATCATTCACCATCAGACATTCATTTTGATAGTTGTGTACTTCATAACCTACAATTAAAGATCGTATTCACTTTTCATCATCTAAATCCTAGATCTTATATCATCCCACACTTCTCATTCATTGATCTCATTTATTCTTCCTGAATCATACTTTTTTTGTTTTCCTATCTCATTTCATGCTATCAACTCTTCACTTCCTATCTTAATTTCATCTCAATATGCCGATACGTGTAACAACTTAGACTGATATACTTTCACACCAAGCCCGTGGACTGTGTGTAATAATCCCTAAATACTACACTTAGAAAGCGATATATTCTAGAATTCACAAGGTGATTTGGATTTTAGTTTCGCTGTATCGATTTATTCACCATCAATTTATTATATGTTCAAGCGACGATTGTTAGTTCTGATAAATTTTGTAATTGATAATCATTAAATAGTCAATGTATGATTAGATTAACCTGAATGTAAGTTAGTTTTCTTGGGATCTCCACCGAAATTCCGTCTATTTCGTTGAAGCGTCGTGTGTTAGTTGTCCGGTCCGCCGATTTTACATAGATTAGTTCTGTTTAAGACGAATCTCAATTGTTTGTTCAGAAATGCTAAACTCCATCTCAATTTCCAACGGTTATAAACAATGTGTAATGGTTGGCTTAATCATTATAGATACAGTTGGTTTTCTGAATAGGCCTCATAAGACAAAATACACGAATACCCAAATCGATGTAAGTGACCGAGGTGCATTCATTTTCTATTTTGTTTTCACTCATGAATATCCTACGTTTTTAAAAAATGTTTTCTCTTCGTTGCTGTTTCTAACAAGTTTCCATCCTTTTACTGTCAATATCTTCGTGAACGTTATGCGGTCACTCTAACCGCAACACTAACACCGTCATTCTGAGCCACAAACATTCTCCATCATCTTAGTTTGAAATATCTTTCTTCTGTTCCACTCTAAACTTTGAATCCACCCATCTGTATATTTTTTAATTTGTTTTCAGTAGTAGGTTCTCTATAAGACAGGCTCCTTGGAAGTGCTCATATAAAGTTTGTCAGATTTGTATGTCATGTCATCATGCATCGGAATGGGAATGAATTGCTTATAAACTTCAAGTTATTACTAATTGGAGATAGTGGAGTTGGGAAATCAAGGTTAGTACCAATATCATACGACTTTTTCAATTTTTATAGCTTGTTAATGCGTTATACTAATGATTGTTTTGAAAGTCAGCTATCTGCAACTATCGGTAAGTTTATGTGAAAGTAATTTGTATGTATTTATCATTTTAGGCGTTGATTTCAAAGTCAAACTTGCTACGGTCCCTGATGGAACAAAGATTAAGCTCTCTATATGGGTGAGTGATCTGACTTTCCTACCCCAGACTTTTACTTATATAAAGACTCGTAATCAATTTTAAACCTGTGTTAATAAATGAACTTTTTTCACATAACCGCATACTCTCCAAATCGTCAGTCACCTTTGTACGAAGCAAATCTTGTATCTGTGAACTAGTGACTCTTCATCAAGCATCAATGAATTCATGGCTCACATCATTGGTGGTGACATTTTAAAATAGTGTAAAAATATACAACAGGTAGGAGAAATGTATATTTATTGCGAGAAGTTACAAAGTATTTACAAAATACATATACATAGCCTTCAATCGTCCATTTACATCTCACGGTGTGTTCTGCTATCTGAACTGTCTTCTCGTGTTGTCCCCATGTGTTATGTCAACGCCGTTCTTTCGATGCACTGGTACTCTTCATTCTATCTGACAGTTGTTACAACTTCGACTCCGCGTTCCGCTACACGCTACTTGCAAACAATCTTATGGACGCTATAGCGTCCACTACAATATCATGGTTGAATGGAGTTCATTACTGACACGCATAAACATTAAACATGTGGTTAATGGTTGACATACTGAAGATTGATCCAGAAAGTCATGGGTTTAAAGCTTAGGAAACCTACAGAGGTTAAGATAGCACTCACATAGTAAACGTAGCTCATAGCGAATATACAAACAACACTTTTAATGGAAAAATCCACTAGAAATGGATATATTTCATTCATGTTATAGGTTAGAAAGTGAAGTGCTGAGTAGCTACTTTGAAATTGTTGCCACGTTTTTTCAGTCAACTTTTAATCTTGCAGCTTTTCTAATCTTAAAAACTGGTAGATTAAAAAGATGACTTCATGGTTCATATCTATTGGAATCGCTCAAAATGTTAAGTGGGGTTTTCCGACTGACAGCATTTCTGTAGTAACCACTCAGTAGAAAATTGTGTCAGATACCCCAGTTGGGTTAAAATCTCTACACAAGACAACAAGATCCACTGTGATTCCTATCATGCGTTTTAAGCAGAATAGAATAATTTCCAGTTTAATCCTAATTAGAGTCAGGATATCAGTCCTTATCGATCCCCATCAGTTTCAATCTACTTGGCCAGTGTTGTAGTCAGATTTGTTAATACCCTATTAATATTACTCTGAATTACTAAATTATTTAAATACTGTAATTTATGATACCCTTGTTTTTCGAAAGTTGCATGTATGGGGAAGTCAGAAAAGTCCTCAGTTCAAAGAGATTGTTATGTCCGAACCAAGAATAAATGAAAGATAACTACGAGTTATCTATGGACTATTACTACATATATTCTTATGGTATAATTATTTAAGTTACTGTATATACAATATTCCATTTACCATAAGCTTTCATTTGACCTATTGACTTACGATTCTTTACTTATTCCCAATTTATCAGCTACAGTATCTCATACAGCCACTTTTGGCTTGATATTGCTGCATTATTATTTTGCATTTTACAGTGTGATTCGGTCTGGTCTGCTTGTATATAAACTACTTATGTTTGAAATATACGATTCATACAGTGGAAGATGAGATTGTGTTCTGGACTGAACGGTCTGGGCTAGGTGAGAAGTTACTATACAGAGGAATAATAATGACTCAGTTGACTGCTGCTGATTGTGCTGGGTAACGAATCATTGGTTTAGCATAAACATATCATATAAATCAGTGTTTTGATTGGTGGTTTCGTCACGTTATGTTAAACGGCTTATAGGACGTAACAGAGATAATAAATATACTGAATCATCATTATGAATAATTTATTTTGATGTACATTACATCTGAGTAAAACTGTAACCCTAGTCCTTGCATTTGCATTTAGTTCGTTCGGTTGATTAACGTCGCTTTTGAATGTCTTTTCGTTTCATTGCTGTTGAAGCTTCTGTGCAAGATTGCTACTTATCAGTTACCTTTCTGAAGGTATGACTAAAATCCTTGGTTTTGTCTTCAAATCCAAAAATGTCTTTTGTAGTAAAACATTAACATCTGTCAACTTTTTTATTCAACTGTTAGTCATACTCATCAAATCTAACTGTATTGTTTCTTTTTATGTTTGTAGACAAATGTATGAAATATATGTTTGCCAGTTATTAAGAATTGGTTATTTGTACATTGGTTACGCGACATTCTTTCTGTTGTCTTATCGTGTACCAAGGAATTTCTGTGCTGTCAATACATAATTATATAGAAGACATTTCTCTGTTGATTTTGAGGTTGTGACTTGGTTTATCCTTAAAAAGGGTGTTCAACTGAAGGCCTATTATAGGCTGATTAAGTACTAACATACGATCTGAATGTATAGACATTTTGGTTTTTTTCTTTTTTAATAGGAAGGCTGGCTAATTAGTTCCGATTGTTTGTATATAAGTAAACATTGAATTACGCCGTTACCGCATGAATTTTTTCCGACACGATAGATTGCATTTAAGATGTAATGATTTATTTTTACAGCACATTTTTCAAAATTTTGTAGGATACTGCTGGTCAGGAGCGGTTTCGTACTTTGACACCCAACGTGTATCGTGGTTCACACGCTGCTGTTTTTGGTGAGTTGTGTTTTAAAAACTTGTTACGGATTATATTATGTGGTTTCACGGGTATTTATTAACTTTGATACTCATAAATGAACATCTTTTGAATCGAGCTTGACGTAGAAAAGCCAATACGAGTAAAATTATCATTTTTTCTTATAGCGAAGCTAAAATATCATCCGAACAGGCTACTTCTCATACACTTGTAAAACATGTTTTTCGAATATATGGCCTATAATTTCCAGGTAATTAAATATGGGATCATCTTGCTCAATCTAAAAACCCATTATGTTGTTAAATATATGTTGATACATAAAATTCAGTCACAAGCGTCTCATTAACTGAAGATATGCGTCAAGAAGAGTAAAAGTTAACTAGATTTCTACTCCTGAACCACTTTATTCTAACTGTAGATCACTCATAGACAAAAGGAACTTTATTTTATATTAAGTGTAAATATGTGTCGTAATTGTGGCGCAGTCTCAGTTCAAGAATCTTGATTAGATGGTTTCCATGACGATAGTTTGATATCACTACATAATTTCGGGGTTCATCATCACTATTGTTCAATCAACGAGAAAAAGTGAGGTGCTGGTGTAAATGTTTTGTTATTGTAGACTGGTGTTAATCTAGCTATGCACATTTTAAGTTTCCCAACAATTGTATAAACCGTTAGCATTTCTAGATGATAATTCTGCCTTTGTTTCTGTTTCATGACCACTATTATTGGGCAAGTTTATTGGCGTTAATGCTGAGAGCTGCATAACTAACTGGGCTTGTTCTTATTTGTTTAAAACAACAGTATACTGTATATAAAAGAAAGCTTTTCACATATTTGTAAATCAAAGTTGGTTTACCACAAGTTTTTGTCTCCCCTTCTCTTTTATTTTTCTTACATCTGCCGTCCACATAAAGCACCTTTTTATGATATGGAAGATGATATCTCGACTATTGAAGTTATGCATTGTAGGTCTAGAGTTGGTCGCAAAGAACACCATAGTTGAATTAAGTGTACATCCAATTTTAAAAAAAAATAAGTTAGCTAACAGTGTCTCATATGTTCATTACTAAATCATTCTATCCAGTGATTATGAATGTTTTTTATCGCATCAATCAACATAAATGTGTTACAACTGTTCGGGTGATTTCATTATTTAACTTGCTAAAGTTATATATCATGAAATTAAACTATTGAATTTATTAAACATCCCACCAATATTTATGTATATCAATTACTTAGATAAAAAATTGTTCACGATTTTTGTTTCATATTTAGGTCTAAAGTTATTGCTGTTTCTTTTTTTCCTGAAAAAAGATTATACTTAGCAAGCATATGAACCACTAATTGTAGATGATTAAGTGAAGTTTCATATATAACATCTTTTAAGTATTTTAACAGTCTTAAGAAAGAAAGGGCCGCTGACATTCGTTTATTATGGGAAATTTGATAGTCAATTCTTCATAACTACTACATAAATAGTAAATATTCAGGAATTATATCTATTTGTTTATTTTCATGATTCGTATGTAACATAGTTGTTTTAAGTTGAATGTGATTGTTTGAAACATGAAATGAACCTTTCACATTTAGATAGATATTCCACAGTTTATTCTCGTTGTAATTAACATTAAATATTACATCTATTCAGTCAGTCAAGATCAAATAGAGCTGGGGGTAGATATACTTTAGCCCAAGTTTATTTATTTATGTACTTGAAGTTAGACATTGACACTGTTGGATGCTGGCTCAGTGGTCTAGTGATTAAGTGCTCGCGCGCGAAACCAGTGGGTTCTGGGTTCGAATCTCGCAGAAGGGCGAGGCCGTGGATGCATACTGTTGAGGAGGCTCACAGTAGGACGAGATGACCTTCCAGTGCTTCCAGGTCTAACTTCAACTGACTCATGATCTTAACCACTGAAATTCATTTATTTGTCTGAACACAAATATTGGTACAAGGAGGCACCAAATAGATATGCACCACACAAAACAATTGGAATGGGAGTAGAAAAAAGGGAGGTAAGGAGCGTAAAAGAAAAAAAAGAAGAACAATAACGACCAGATTAGTGTAAGGTAGTGTAATAATATTAATAATGGGGGAGACGGAAATTACAATCAGAAGAAATCTTTCAGTTAAATAAGATACAACCGCTTTTTATGAAGAAATTAAAAGATTACAGCAGGATCACCACTGGCTTCTATTCTGAGCCATATCTGATAACGTCTCTAGCCGCTGAGTAGCACCATCTCTCGGACCCCAACCAGAGAGTCGTGAAGGACCTACAGAAGCTAGCTCTTTGCACCTTTCTTTCATACCCCGACGCCATGTCATACAATGACCACCTCTCCGCTTTTTCCAACCTGTCCCAGCATCGGCAAATAATGCACGACGTGGAATTCCCTGGGATTACGTTCGCAGAACATGTTCAAGCCACCGAAGTCGATGTTTCAAGATGGTGACATCGATTGCATTATCATCTCTGTGCCCGAACACACGATGCCGAACCTCTGCATTACTAACATGGTGTTGCCACTGGATGTCAGCAATCCTTCGGAGACAGCGGTGATCGAACACAGAGTCGTCTAACATCCTCAACTCGGAGAGGCCAGGTTTCACAAACATAGAGCAAAACTGCTCTCATCGACGCGTTGTAGATCCGACCTTTTACAGCCAGACTGACATCACGAAGGCGCCAAAGGTGGCCCAGATTGGCATGAGACGCTCTGGCTTTCACTATACGTGCATTGATCTCATCTCTCACACCCCCACCAGCACTTATGCAGCTACCCAGATACACGAACTTCTCAACTACTTCTATCCGCTCACCATCCAGGGTGAGTACAGGATTAGAATCCTGCCAGTCTTGTAGAAGTACTTTGCACTTCGAATGTGCAAAGCACATACCATGCCTACGGACACTGATTGCCAACTGATTAAGTGCGGATTGTATGCCTTGGGCATTATCGCACAGTAAGACAATATCATCCACATACTCAAGGTCTAACAGTCTTTCTCCAGGCAACAGATCCACACCACCATTACTTACATTCATCAGAGCTGTTTCCAGAATGTCATCGATGGCAAAGTTGAAGAGGAATGGTGAGATTGGGCAACCGTGTCTAACCCCACTGCTCGAATGGAACAATGGAGAAAGGTGGTTGTATTCCCTCACTCTGCATGAGGTGTTTGTATATAGGGCTTTTAGGATGTTAATAAACTTCTCAGGCACACCCTTCTTTAATAGACAATCCCAGAGGACAGTCCTGTCCAACGAATCGAAGGCAGCCCTAATGTCAAGGAGCACTACGATTGTTGGCCTTTGTTAAGTATGATGGTGTTCTAAGATTTTGCGGAGTTACTTGCATAGACAGCTCTCTATGAATACTCTTACTTTTTAGTGATATTGGTAGCAACTATCCAGGTTTCAGCTCCGTACAATAGCACTATCTTAAAGTTAGTGTTGGATATTGTGACTGGTTTTGTCTGACAGTTGTTTTGAGTTACGGAAATTCTCTGATTGTAGGGATGTTTCCCTTCTTTCTCTAACCTGTTCCTTGATATACGCATCAGATCCTCCTTGTTTGTTATTGATAGTGCCTAGATGTGTAAAGTTTTCCACCTCTTCAAGAACGTCACGGTCAAGTGTGGTTTAGTTGGGTCTCTCTGTGTTGTATTTTAGGATCTTGGTTTATCCATTGCGGGACCCGGCGCTTCACTGGTTCTCTTCGTCTGCATTTGTTTCTGTGCGTGGAATAGAAAGGTTGAGTCACCTAGAAATTCAAATAACGCGGCTGTCTATAATATTCACTGTATCATGTGTTTTTCCCAAGCTGTGGACCCACTAAGTAACTAAAGGAAAAAAATCTGAAGTAGTCAGTCTTCACTTGGAATATATCTGTGAGCTGTGCTCCATTAGCAAATTTATAATTCAGTCCGTCGTAGGAGTTTTGTATGGTGGTGGCTATCTTTCCACGTGCTCCATATCGTTAAAATAGGTTCCATTAGGTTCTCCTCTATCCACACTATTAAATGCTTTCTCATAGTCACACAATTTCGGGAAAATCGCAACCGACCTCATTTCTACTGTGAGTAGGCGTACATAGATAGATGAAAATGTATGTTCATAGATGTAACTTTTTACGGTTACTAAGGTAAGCTTCATATAAATTCACTTATACTTTACTCATCTTTGGATCAAATATTATAAATATGTATATATTTTTCTATCTCCATTTATTTCACTGTTATGATTTTTGTTTAACATACCATACCTTCTATTCAGTGTTTGACGTATCGAATCGTGAGAGCTTTGATCATCTGAGCAGTTGGATGGAAGAGTTGAAAACTTATTCAGACAATCCAAACATGATTAAACTTCTTGTTGGAAATAAAATTGATAATGTAAGTTTTTATAATATAATCAAATATCTACAAACATGTACTTTTAATTAGACAGTTTTTATCAGTATTTAACATTTTCTAGTTGTCCATTAGTATACCTATTAAACTAAAGTATTAAGCTTGATAATAATATCTATTGTTAAATTATACAGTTAATAAAAGGAAAAAGTGAAAAAGAATATTCTACCTTCCTATTAGCTCTAATTTGAGATAATTAAAATTCCAATAGTTGAGATCATGAGTCATTTGAAGCTAGACCACCATGGAAAACGTGGAAGTACTATACGACCGTTTTGTCCTATTGTGGGACTCCTCAGCAGTGCGCATCCACGACCCCACCTATCCGCCGACTACCTTGACTCATAGTAATGGCTGGTGTAGAAGTATGTTGGAAGTAAGCTATAGGCGGCCAAACCAACACATGGCATATGTCCGTGAAAATACAGTGTTGGACTGAGCCATTTAGGTAAATGCGAACTACCTGGTTGTGGTGTCCGCATGATTATTGTAACCAATGGTTATGACTTTGGGTGAAATCAATTCACTTTTTGTATTCCCTTGTATTCTGAGTTTCTAAGTTTCCTACAAATTTTATTCATTTCATTAATTTATGTTTTGTTTCATCGCATCTTGGATGCCTGGTCTTTTCTATTATCATTACTACCTGTATTACTGTGGGATTTGCCGTTGTGTTTATAGGTTGTAGAAACATGAACCGATGTACACTTGTCAGGTTTCACTTTACGTATAATTGACTGGCCGATACTTAAAACACTTATTGCCTAGGTATTGTATGAATTGTGATTTTACGGTTCCATCATGTTACATCTGGCATATCCACAATTATTGATATGACTGCTGTTCTTGTGCTACTATAAAGTAATCCCTGGGCGTTTAAATAAAAGTGTGGTTTATGTAGAATTGTAAGTTTTAACACCACTTATATATCTCAGTTGTGAACACTAGAATGCTAGATTCCTTTGTTCAGCTAACTTTGGATATCGACGCGCTAGTTTTCACTCCCGACTTCTAGCCACCTTTTATTGATATCACATGACTTTTCTCCTTAATTTCTCCGAACCTCCTGAATACGACTATTTTCATGATTATGGAATGCTTCACTATTAAAGAATTATCAATAGTATTAATTTTGTTTTAACTCTAGATCTCCCGAGAGATTTCTCGTGAAGAGGGTCTTCGTTTTGCCCGTTTATACAGTATGCCGTACGCTGAAACAAGTGCGAAAACCAGTGAAGGTGTTAATCAGCTATTTTCTGATGTTGTTACTAGAATTTATAATCATTCTGAATTGTGGAATCAAGGAAAAAAGCGTGCAATTAATAATTCTTCAAGTCGTGCTCACTTAACTGAACTTGAAGATAAACAGACCCGTAGTGGCTGTTGTTCATAATGTCCGTAGATGTTTTGGTATACATTCCTTACACTTTGCGAATTCATGACTTCACTTCATTATTGAAATCTCTTATTTTATCCAACTAAATACTATATATGGTATACTATAACGGTTTACTGTTATTTTTTTTTAATGTTTTCTGATAGCAGTTTATTACAAACTCTTTCTTTAAGTTTATAGAGTATCATTCAGTATAAGGCTGTGATGTTATTTGTTAGCCAAAATTTTATGATGCTTTCATAGTTTTGCGCTGCTTTCCTTCATCTATTTTGACTAGATGAATATCTAAAAAAATAGGTTGCTTTATGTCCTTTTTTTCGTTGGCTGTTTCATTGTTTCTTTTTCAAAAAAAGATCAAAACAACTGAGACTATTTTCTCTATCCATTTAGACAGTTATTTTCTTTTCAAGATTTTTCTTGTTTACTTTATTGTATCTTCAAAAAATTTCAATATTTCCGTTACTTGCTTTGAAATAGATCACACTGTTTTATAGAATTTTTTTGGTCAAAGTTAGTATTATTTCAGGTGATTTTATATCATTCAGTCAGTAACAACGTAGAACTTCGTACGTACGTACATCAGTTCGAGTTGCCACACCACATTAGCACAGAGATGCAGTGGTCGATTCAAATCCCGTAGTGGTAGAGGTAATAAGAGTATAAGCAGTAATCGGAAAGATTAGTGTTTGGAAATGTTATTTAAAGAGTATAATACAGTGAAATAAACTTGGGAAGAGAAAAAAGAGACAAGAGGGAATCAGGAGATCAAAATTTCTGAGAACATAAAGAGTGGATGCACCTGCGCCATTGCAAATGATTTTGAGCCATGTCATTCAAGGTCTCTAACCATCGGTTGCTATCATCTCGCGGTCCCCAACCAGGTAGTCTACACCTACCAACATGACTCAGTCCACTTGTCAGTGACTTCATGGACTTGTGCCATGTTTTGGTCTGGCCGCCCCTAGCTTTCTTCCAACCTACTCCTATACCACTGAACATCGCACGTCGAGGCAGTCAGTGGTTTGGCATACGTAACACGTGTCCCAGCCATCTCAACTGATGAAGTTTCACTACTTCATCAATCGATTCGCCATCCTTACCCAGTACTCGTATCCTAACAACTGCATTACTTACTCGATGGTCCCAGGATATACGAGCAATATTTCGAAGCCACCTATGATCAAATACTAGTAGCCTACGAATATCCTCTACTCTTACCGGCCATGTTTCACTGCCATGAAGCAGGACGGAACGAACTGCTGCGCAGTAAACACGTCCTTTGGTTGATAGACGGATATCTCGCCTTCGCCATAAATGACGCAAGTTGGCAAAAGCTAGTCGAGCCTTCTGTATCCGTGCTGAGATTTCGTCACACACCAGACCACAAGGGCTGATGAGACTTCCAAGATAAGTGAAGCGATCGACACGCTCAATTACTTCACTCCCTATCATTAGAGTTGATACTAAATCAAAAGCGGATTCGAACGATCCCACTGTTTAGTATATTCATTATTATGGAGTCAGTATTGATAAATCCAAAACTATTTGAAGTTCTCACATAACGACTATACTTAATTTTAGTTGATGGAAATAAAACTGTCAAAGGTTGTGCTAGTAAAAGAACTTGATTTTTGGAAAAGGTAAATCAGTAGTAATACCCTTTGGTTACTTCTCTAATACTCTGACAGTTGTAGCTGGAACTGCCTTATATGATTCATGTAGATCATTAATCTTTGTTTCCTGGCGTTAGGCCAATGTGAAATACGGATTTATATTATATGAAACTCGTTAGAGATTAAAGAGAAAAATCATTCGACGTATATGCATGGTTTTCCCCAAAAATTTAATTTTCTTACTGTGAGTCATTGTAGAGATACTTTTTAAGTGATAACTATGTAGTGTAGTACAGACCCTAATGTGTATAAACGTTTTAGAACCAGTAAGGATGTCTCGAACAATCGTCTGTGAATGAAATTAAATTCCGCACTTTTCTTAACATCTGGAGCTCAATGTGTACTGACTATTTGTATTTCCTGGTAATGTGAGTACTTTTGGGATTGGATAATTCACATTCCAAAAATATTCAGGAAGTCTGATTTAGTAATCAATGTCCATGTATCATTGTAACGTTCACGAAACTGTAGATATCATGATTTGGTTATCGGCCCTGCGTTCAGGAGCCCTTCGAAAGAGTTTTAGGATTCTTTTATTATTAATCAAGCAGTGAACCATACGTAAATATTTTCCTTAGATATTATAACGAAAATAATTCTCGGTGATTATATGGGGAAAACTGCAATCTTGTATAAATGTAAAATTATTTTAGTAACATTTCCTCTTGCTTTTTTGCCCTAGTTGTGCAAATAAGAATGTTTGTTTAGAACTGACTTATTCTCTTTTTCTTATACACAATTAAGCATCGCTCGCTAGTCTTACTTTCGAATGTGGCAATACGATTTTACCGAACTGACCTGCTGGATATTAGATATGTTTTTCACCCTTGATAGTGGTGTTTTAGAAATAACTTAGATTAAGAGAAGCTATTTTTGGAGAGGTTCGACAGAAAATAACCTTTTTTGGAGCAAATAGACTCCAACTGTCCTGTAGCGAGAACATTAGTTTTATTGGACACGGAGAAGTCTCAACAAAATGACTCCTTGGGATTCAGCTCGAAGATGTATTTACAAAAGAACTATTGGAAAGGAGTTCATCTCAAAGAAGATTTGTGTGATATCATAACGGCTGTAAATACAACAAGTGTTCGTTCAGTACCTAAAAAATACTGTTAGGAAATATCGGGGAAACTCCCACTGAAATGATAGCTGCCCGTAAACTCCACGTCATGCTCAGAGGTCGAGGAATCGCAAAGTTAACTCAAGCAGACTGAAAAATTTCACAGGATGATTGTAACCATTATTGGGCGAGAAAATCTTAGGAAGAAGAAAGGGAAACCGCAATATCTAACCAGACGTGTTTGGAATGATCAAATGTCACTTTTTAGCGAACTTATCCTTTTATAAGATAAAGGTAGTGGGGGTTTGAAAGTTAAACCTAGTCTTATCTGACTGGGCTCGACCGCTGACCGTCCCAATGTGTAAGAAACGAAAAAAATCCTCTTATGATAACCACTGAAGTATTACTCTTGCTAGTTTAATGTTTAAAATGCTAGCTTCGGTAATCATCTGAAGTTGTCCATAGATTTTAGGACAGAAACCAATGCTTTATTCTGATCGGTTTTCTCATTCGAAAGTGGTATCCAACTCCGTCGGCTTAGAGGTTTAGTGGCAGTTTTTGTCACTGGAGGAGGAACTAGAAAAGTATCCAGATGTGAAAGCTCCTCATTAAGGAATTTACTGTCGAGTTAGAACTTACAGCGAACTGTAATCGGAAACACTAAGTTGTATTCGTCAGCGTTGCCTAATTTCTTCGCCCCCATTTAACGCCATTGCCATTCTTTTGGAGATGCTCATCATCCAGCTTATCAAGGATCGATTTCCTACCTGATAACCTTCGTCTTCTCATTGTATTGTTGAGATATTAAATTAGAGTACGCAGACAGAGTGAAGACGATGACAAAATGCAGGGTGTTCTGATTTCTTTGAACAACAATACGAACATGTTCTGGGTGCGTATCTTTCTTCTTAAATGTTTAATGTTGCTTGACGACTTCTTTGCATTAACAACTAAACTAATTACAGGGAGCGAATTAGTTGAGTGTACCGACCACTTCAATTATCTTAGTTTTAACAAACCTGCTGAGTCGGTGGCTGACGAAATCTAGGCACGATTCTAGGAGATTTGATTGGCTTTCGCCAGCCTGCGTTATTTGTGGTGCACGTGAGATGTACGTCTGTCAATGATGTGACGAGCATACTGTGCATTAGCTCATTCTATCTATCTTTTTCTATGGACATGATAATTGGCTGAAGGTAAAAGACGTCAATAGTCCCCAAATAAGTATATGATCATATGTATTTCCGAAGCATTGCTCATGTATAGCAATACAACCAAGTGAACAGTTACGAGGATAGACAGGATACTTGGTAGAAATACGCGAATCCATTGATCAATTACGAGGCTTTATTGAATGACGTGGTTAGAAAATATGTTATAAATCCCCAATAACCTCCTACCTCGACCCACAATGCTGGTTGGGACTAGTATAGATAAGAAGGAAGCTAAGAGTGTTCAAACCAAATTAGATGGTCAATTTCGTTGGACTGTGGTCGTATGGTATGGCACATCGGAATGGCAACATTTTTGTATCTGGCCGTACAAACTGACACAAATATAACAAGTGCTGTATGCATGACTAGATGGTCTTGAATTCGGCCCTGTATGGTGTTGTGAAAGTCTGTTGTCGCGGACCCCAAAGTAGGGTTTAAGCAAACCTTCACTCTCTGATTTTCAAACGTCTCACAGATAACGTCATTTCGCAACAAAAATAATCTTTAAATTATTCCGTTCTCAGTAAATAATATATGAGTCTATTATACAAGTTGCAACCTCTCACTGTGTGCTAAAAAGTAGCGAAAAACACTTTTCTAGTTCTCTTTCACCTATTATTATTATTATTATTCAAAATCTGAAAAATAATCCCGGTAGGATGCAAATGATCAATATATGAAAATCAGCATTTTAAGAAAGCATGACAGGAATTCAAATTCAATCTAAGCATACACACAAAGTACTGAAAAGTGAAAATGTTACATAATAAACTAATTTTTTTTTAACAGTTTGTTATGATGAGTTCACCTGTAGACAATCTTTTACATTTAATGTCAAATTTTACATAAATACTTAACATAAACAAAATGTTTGTCATAGCAAAAAAAATTAGAAATATAAACATAATCAAATAAAGTAGGATGATAATGATGATGTAAACGATTAAAAAAAAAATTCAAGTTACAGTATCATACCAACACAAAATCCGGAATTAAAGATTCATGAATTAATTATACTTTCTCTTATCGTACAATAATTATATACAATGATTTCATTTTAAAGCAATATATAATCAGCATTACTATGTCGTTGTTGTTCACCTGAAGTTAATGAGTTTTTTGCAGTTACAATAATTGAAGAGGTTTTATGTTTAGGCTTTTGAGATGATAATGATAATCCATATGTTTGTAGATCATTAAACATTTTCGTTTTCATTGTATTGTATCCTAGTTGTCAATATTGTATTGTTTTGTAAAAAGAAGAATAACTATCAGTGATTAACTTACATTTATAGTGCAATTAGTTATACATAATTAACATGTCATCCATGTCAACAGATAACAATTCTTGCAGATATTCAAAAATCCTTCTATTCCTTTATCAGATTTATAGGTATACTTCGTTAAATATCGGGGAATCTCTGTAAATTATTGATCCCAGGTAGTGACTTTCCATTTTAATTAGTGTTTCGGCTAATTATGTATTTTTTGCTTTGACTAAATTATTTGAATATTACAGGCTACTAAGCTAATGTGATTAAGGAAGAAGTCTACGAAGATTGTTAAACTTGAAGTTAGTCTATCTGACAAAATAACACCTATTGTAAGGAGTTGTAGAGATTGTTGAACTTTATTGAAATCGTGAACCGATTCAAATTAGACCATCATTGGAAACATAGAAGTATTTGATGAACGTTTCATCATACTATGGGACTCCTCATCAGTGAGAATTCACAAGTCCACAGGATTTCAATGGTGGTCTAACTTAGGTCGGTTCACGATTTCAATAGAATCGATATGTATTAGAAAACCATAGAGCATTAGAAAGTTATTCCTCTTGAGTAGTTACGAATCATCATTAAACACCTTTTTATTGTTATGCGGATTTCTCTTCTAATGTTAGTCTGTAATGCTATTGAATATACAGCTTTAACTCATATGAAGCAAATGAATATATTTTTATATATAAGTGCAGTAATACAAAATATTAGAATTGGAAAATAAAGTATTCTTATCAAAGAATAACACAAATAATTAGTCCAAGAAAATTATAAGTAATTTAGCGAACTCAAACTTTAACTAAATCATCAACGTTTTCTCATTTAGGCTAATCATCAAAACACCACTGTCGCTATCTCGCAAAAATAAAGTTAGTTTATAACTTTGATCAGTCTGTTGCAAGAACTTGTGATATACATATGGTACAGATCCTTTATGTAACGCCTTATTGCAGAATGAACATCAACTCAGCCCAAAGTTGACAAGACTGGAAATATTTAAATTTAATATAGTTAATAAAGGAATCTTCTACAGAATTTGATGTGAAACATCATTAATACTAAATTTTTCTAAGGTAACTTTCTATCACAATATACACCATTTCAAGAAATAATGTATAATAAGGAGCACTAAATATTTATTTCATTCTATATTTAGGAAAAAGTCTTCAATATTATACTTCTATAGGAAGTCTGATCCAAAATGTTCAGACCTATAGTCTTTGACATTGTCAGAGGTCACTATAGTTCACTTTCGTGGAATTCCAGTCTAGGAAGAAACAGTTGTCTAGTGTCACCTGGTTTTCTGTAGGTAATATGCGTTCATAGAAGAAGATATTTCCACATCTAACAGAATTTACAAGGACCCATTCCTAATTTTTTAAAGCTGTTTGATTAGTATGAAGACAACTATGAACTGATCTAAGAAATGTTTAATTTTCAGTGTGTGCTATTTAGTTTCGTACCTTACCGTAGTCACTGATTTTTATCGGCAGTCATCTGATAACCAACCATATGTCTGAAATTAAACAATCGATTAAAATAGTCTTAACAAATTATACAGTATGATTAATCAATCTAATCTCAACTATCATTCTTAGAACTAAATTAACTGATACATTTTGATATAAATATACTATTACATGTCATCTGACAATTGCAGATTTTTTATTTTATTTAACTTATGAAAATCAGTACCTAATTAAAGGCTTACGAAATCAACATTGAGTCATAATTTTAGTAATGTTAACTAGCAGCCCCTATATCTAACTATTTAAATTAATGAATTGTTATTCAACCCTGTCATTATAACAAATGATGCACTATAATATCCAAGTATTCTTTTGATAAATCGATAAAGTGAGAATTAAAAAAATATAAGTGAAACCTTCAGATTATATTTACTTGTTACTACTTATATCTTTGATTAGCTGATTGCTTAATTGTGTTAATAGTGCAATACATTTTGATTTTAACTTCTTAAAAAATATATGTTGAACATAAAATGTACCTATTTATCTTTGTGAAAGGACTATAACTTATAGCGATGTTAAAATACAGAAAAATACGAGAGGAGACATACTCAGTAAAACTTTTGTAACTCATTCACTGTTTTTCTGATTGCTATTAATACCATCTATATTGCTTATTAAATAGGATTAAGTGAATGTTTTGTATAGTATTAATTTATCAATCTTTTGTGGAACATAAACTTGGAATCTTGAAGGGAAACAGAAAAGGGGAAGGATAAAAAACATTACGTCGGGAAATAGAAGCAGATATGAAAAGGATGAATAACAACTAGAACGAGATGGAAAGGATTGCCTAGTACAGGGTTGGATGGCGAGTGCTGGTGGACGGCCTATGCTCCTCCACGAGGAGTAACAGGCGTAAGTAAGTAGTGAAACATAAACAGTATTGGAAAAAGAATAAATAAATAAATATAGTACAAATCTATCCTGATTGAAAATAATCTTTAAAAATGAATATTTATTATATTAGAGAAAATTGTAATGACTGTAATGCATTGTAATAGACAAGTATTAGATAACAAGATAAATATATGTTTAATCTATATTATTCATACTCACAATACTTAACTGATATGAGAATCAAAGATGAAAAGTTGGGATTGCATGTAATTTAACATTGCTTTTGTTATATAACAATGAATAAATTTATCATTTTCATTAGTTCATTCTCTTCAATAACTTATTATAATATTCACGATGTAAATAGAATGGATGTTTTTAGAAAAAAATATCATTAAGATCACATTCTTTAGTTAAACAATTCACTTTCTCATAGATAAAATGAAAATTTTTATCGTATATGAAACACAGTTCACAAATAAAGAATCATGTATTTAAATAAATAGCTGGAAAAATGATGACTTAATACTAACGTACAAACCCGTTCACTTCTAAAACGAACATACAGAATGTGTCTTACGGTTATGTCAATGTCTCAAATAGTATTTAGTTTGTATTTCTAATTTTATGGGTGAAAAGATTCATACTATGAACTAACAGAACAAGTAAATTTGGTTATTTTTGTTATTTCAAATAACTGCGTGTAAAATCAATACAAATAGGTGAGTGATGAAGAAAATCAGCAATGTGTCATAAAGCCCTGACTGATTATTATTTTATAGTTCCATATAGTCATTATCATAATATATCCGAAACCCAAAGGTTATACATTTTACTGCTACTGCACTAGACAGCTGTTTCATCCCAGTATGAGGTCTCTCAGTGATACGGTCCATGACTTTATTGAGGATCTCACACAAGACCTTGAAGCCTCATGGTGACCTATTAACCTTCAGACCACTGATATGGCATGTGATAGTATTGCGTGATCATTTTTCATTACCTTCGGTGGATAGATGCCTCATAACTGACATAGCTAAACTTAAATAATGCTTCTCCTCAAAATCAAAATTACGTTATTCACCACTAAAGTTACAGTCATTAATAACAAGGTGTCCGGTCAATGATTTTATTTGTGTAGAATTGAATAGTTCTGGTAGTCTTACCTTTTGTTAATCAGTATTGACTGACTAATCGATAATTCAATGGACTTTAATCGATACACTCAGAAACTTCAACATGAGAAGTATTCACAATTCATTTCAATCATCTTCCACGAATAAAACATTAATAAAAATCGACTATCCCAAAATGTATTGACATCTTAGTTTTACCTTCCATCAGTGTCTATTTTTAAAGTGTCTCAAACTAAATTAAAAACATATTTTCAGTGTTTCTAGATAACCAGTAGTTTTGTAGTTCATCCTACATCATCTAACGAACACTAGCTTGAAAATAAACAATTTTTATAAACCCTCCAATAAATTAAAAAGATTGTAAATTTGGATATAGAATTGTAGAACCTGAAGATAATTTAATGAAAAGAATGTTTTTCGTTCATAAATCTGTGTTTAGTAAAAAATTATGAACAAAAGCAAAATAAAATACCATGTTGATTAAAGCATTATTGAATACAAATAAAGTGAATCAAAACTTACCTTCATTCTCATTTTGAATCTGTACACCATTTAATTTTGGATTATTATTTTTATCCCAATGATTATTTAGAATAGAATTATCTGTTCGTCTGAAAGGTGTAACATCTTCTCGATCACTTTCAGATGAACTTGACTGAGATTGATCTGTTAAACAATGAAGAACAATTATTCGATAATAATAAGATCAAACTATCTATTCTGAATTAAAGGTCAATTTTCAGATTGCAGTTAAGATATTAATTCTTCTGATGCTCTGAGTAAAAGCAATAACCGTGTCACATTTATATTTTATAAAAATGACATATGGTTATGTAAGCATTATACATGCAGTAATTGGTTTAAATATCATTTCGGTAACACGTACTTTAGCTATAAGACGCGTTTTCTGTCTGAGAATTAATGACACAAAAGGAGTGTTAAATGAGAACTCAGTAGTGCATGGTTTGAATCTAGCAACGCATTTGTTTTATCAGCTTCCTGTGGTGAAACAGTATTGAAATATACAACTACACATTTAGATTTAAGAAGAATGCTCAATACTCTTTTGTACAACTGAATAATACAAACTTGTCATTCTATTCATGTTAGCTTAAATAAATCGTCAATCAATTATTCCATCTTAATCTTTCACCTTGATTTGTTTCAGTAATTTAGATTACAGACCTATTAAAAGGGTTATTGTTAGTGAAAATGATTACTTAACATAAAGGTTGATTAAAGAAACAATTAAGTGATTGAAAAAATTCTTTTACCACAAAATTTAACTGAAATAAACAAACAAAGCGTCTTTCTTTAATTTCCACTTCACTTAAACATGCTACGATTTTAAGATCAACTAGAATTCTTTTTACGAAGAAGCATACAACATTATAGAAAGGATAAATTGATGACTAATTTATCTTTCCTTACAAAAGATCACTTTACTTTATAATACAGGATTATTTCGATTTTAATTTAACGCCTACATATGGTTGATAAAATGACAACACTATAAAAGCATTGGGAGAAATATTTGCTTGTCGTTCTTGAGAATATTTTAACTAGCAACAGTGAATCTGTCTATTCAGAATCCTTTCTTATAGTAAATCAACCTGTAGGCATAAAACTGATGCTTAATGTCAAAAATTTCACCATTCTTCAATGTTAATCTGTCTGAAGATATTACCGATCAATTCAAAAGTTCATTTTTTTGGGATTTGATGTTTCTTATCAAACAACTGATATATACCAGATGATTAACAATTAAACAATAATCAGTATAGGGTTGTGGAGATTGTTGAGCTTTTGATTGAGATACTGAATCGATCAATATTATACCACTATTGAAAACCTAGAAACACTGAACTGCCGCTTCGTCCTAGTATGGAACTTAGCAGCACACATCCACGATCTCGCACGCCAATGCGTAACCTCTAGATCACTGAGCTGGCATCCAACGGTGTTAATGTCTAACGTTAACCAATCCATGATATTGCGCGACTGCCGAAGAGTCCTACCCTATAACGAAACGGCAGTTCAGTGCTTCCAGGTTTTCAATGGTGGTCTAACATTGATCCATTCATTATTTCAATTGAAACTAAACATTCTTATAATTTTCTTTTTTAAAAAAAAATAAAACATAGAAAAAGGTTTAACATGAAATTCGTGCACAGATACTGAGTAGACGCAAGGACATTACTCACTGAAATCGTTGTTGTTTGTATCTTTTACAATATTTTTCGAATCATTGGTTTGAGATTGAGAGTTTGAGTGTGAATGATGGTTTTTGTTTGGTTGTTTAAGTGTACAAGCATTTGAGTTCCTAGGAAAGAAATGAGAACGAGAGATAATAAGTAAACACGGTGAATTATTGCGAACATTATTCAAAGATGCTACCATGTTTTGATCATTGTAGCGAAACTATAGCCAGTAAATTACATATCGATTATTAAGAGAGTAAAGTGGGAAAAAGTATTTTGCGCATATTTTACAAATGTACTTCATTTATGAGATGCTGATACTTCGTAATTACTTACTCCTGTTACCCCTAGGGTAGTATAAGCTACCAACCAAGAAAAATTCCACGCAGGGCAAAGATTAGTCGAAATTAGGTACTGTCTCTGATAAAAATAAATCTAAGAATTATAAATATTATCGAATTCACAAAAGAAGGAGGAAAATTAGTAATTTTGAGTTTGATAATGACAAATAACCTCATAAGTCACCACTAAACAATCTGAAAAACAAGCAAACTGGATTTTCATACTTAACTTTGTTTACCTTACCAACTAGATGGATGATAGATTTTTACAATTTGAGATATTATATATCTGATAAAAGTTTGATATCTATTTAAATAGCTTTAGAATAAGTGTATACAACTAAAATCATATTAAATTTTTATACTCAGCTACAATTTATTGATGTTTTGAGAGAAACGAAGGAGTTCTCACCGGTTTTAGCATTGATTTATTTAACTTGATTTAAACTGAAGAAAAAATTAACAAATCAAATTGACTTTAACTTCAGTTAATAAAATTAATCGATTATGTACGTGTAACACATACCATAAAGAGAAAATTATTTTAGAATATAAGATTTCCTCTGTTACGTTTAAGAAGTCACTGTTATAATTTCTCATTTGTGAAAAAAATTATATCTGGTCAAGCGGTGATGACACATAGATTATTTCATAGCAAAGTCATGAAACAATTCAGTTCACCAAGATGGAGAACGGTATGATATGTTAATGTATCCTAAGATGACCTGATTCCAACTGATTAAGATTTGCTAACATACATTTATGTGATCATCATACTTCATTTACAGTTTCTTTCTATGATACATAAACTGAAAGTATAATAATAATAATAATAATAATCTTATTCTAAAACAGTGAATAAATGGGTCGTTTTCCATAGTCAATAGAAATCTTATGTAAAATTAATACGTGGAACAACTAACGTTCCTGAATTTATTACTCTGTATTCTCTTAATCAAAGTGACAGACACATATGAATTCAATGGTAACCTGATCTCAATTTTATGAAGTTATTTTATAGTTAGTTATAATTTTAACTCCATAGATAAATAATCGCTATGTGTGATTTTAGAAATTGTAATTGTCTTATATGTAATATGTTTTTAAAACTTATAATTGTTAATTATAAAAAGTAAACGTAAATGTGATTCATTTTTTTTTAAAATTAAAGAATTCACATACCAAATTTCTTGATCAACAAAATCAGGATTAACATTGTGATTAGTTACATTTCCTGTAGATGATTTAATCCAGAAGAAAAAAAATCCAATCGCATTCAGTAAAAATAGCATAGTTGAAATGAAAAACAAAAACAAAAACAAATAAACAAAAATAATGTATTAGTTAAATCATTGGACGAAATGAGAGTAAGAATAAAATTGGTTACAATATGAAAAATGAAAATCAGAGCAGTCAATAATTTTTAACTACTTGCTTAGATTAAACTAGAAGGGAATAAACAAAAACTGCCATAACAATCAAATAAGGAAATGAATCGATTAAATTCTTGAAAAAAATTGTAATTAGAGTAAAATGTCATTCGAACAATTGTAAATTATGTTAAAGAAATCATAAAACAAGTATAATTACTTTGAATGAATGAAAAATTCATGATCCTATTCTTGGTTAATGGAAATTTACATAATTACGCCTGTTACCACATGTAAAGGGACATAGGCCGCTCAACAGAATTTTCCATACAAATCTGTCCTGGGTAATCATTACCAGTTGATTCCGGTGGTTATTCATCTTCTCGATGTCCACATCCAATTCTTCACGTACTGTATTCTTTTGTCTTCAACTTTTCTGTTTCCCTTCAGAATTATAAGTTAGTGCTTGCCTCATGACGCAGTTTGATGATTCTCGCAATGTATACCTCATCCACTTTCAACGTTTTTTTCCTACAGTAGGTTGTTACTGATGGTATCCAGCCAACCAACATTCAGTACGCTGTGTACACAATTGTTTATAAATACTTCTACCTTCTTAATGGTGGTTGTGGTAGTTCTCCAAGTTTCAGCTCCATACTGTAGAACTGTCTTGACGTTCGCAATGAAGATTCTGACTTCTTTGTGCGTTGGCAGTTGTATTGAGTTCCATATGTTCTTCAACTGTAGTAGTGCTGTCCTTGATTTGCCAATACTTGCCTCCACATCTGCACTATATTCTCCTTGTTCATCGATGATGCTGACCAGATACGTGAACGTTTCCACACCTTCCAAACTTTCTCCATCAACTATGATTGGTCTGGTTAGTGTTCTCTGTGTTGTATTTGAAGATGTTGAGACCCACTAATTGAAAGTTTACTATTACACTGTTTGTCTTGACCTGCATTTGTTGGTGTGTGTGTGAGAGAGTATGAGAGAGAGATAGAAGAGCCAGGTCATCTGCAAAGTTCGAATCATTTAGCTGCATTTAACTGTTCATTGTATTCCGTGTTTCCGCTGAGATGTGGAGGCCTTCATGATCCAGTCAACGATCAGAAGGAAGAGTAATAGGGAAAGTAGTCAGCCTTATCTGACATCGATCTTTACTTAAAATGGGTGTGTTAGCTGTACTCCATGCACAACTTTGCACTCTGGTTCGTAGTATGAATTTCGGATGATGCTGACAATCTTCTTGGGTACGCCATGGGGTCGAAGATGTTTCCATAGTGTTCTCCTATGCACACTGTCAAACAGTTTTTCACAATAAACAGTGGATAAAGTTTAATTATAAATACGTCAGTTGTAAACAATCATACTTTTGCACACTATATTACAAAAATGGATGCTTTTATCATGACAAATTAAATGACTAAATAACATTTGGTAAATTGTAGATAAATCAATAGATGTGGAGCTCTATAGTCAGATTAAAAATTAAAATAATTCTGTCACTCTAAAGTACGTTTATTATCAACACCCAGATGGAAGATAAAACATAAATTATACCTCATCATAAATAAAATACTTTCGAATTATATTTAAGAATTACAGAACAGAAAACCTAAAAAAGATTGATTGATTAATATGTGTTTATGTCTTCTGGTTGATTGGAAGTATGCTTATCAATAAAAATAACATTTATCAGAACAGAATTTATTTGAGATAGCTAAAATTGATCAGATAGAAGCTTTTAATGAACAAATCAATCTAGCTGTTACTCATAAATAAAGTCTATCTCTAATCCGTAGAAGGTAGCTGCTTTTATACAGATTTGAATCACTTTATATTTTGTGAAATATTTAAACTCAAATAAATATAGTGTTTGCTGGGGTGTTGTGATAAAAGATAATGTATTTGAAACTTATTAAGAAGGTTGAAATACATATAAACATAATATAGACGATGTTAAACCATCCAAGGAATTGGTCACTGATTACCTTGTTATTTTTATTTCTGAAATTTATATTTGTTTTTCGCCCTAAAACACACCTTATAAGAGCTATCTTTCAGTTCTACGACATTTAAAGACACTATTTTGTTTATTAATCCGTGACTTTCAGTGGGATCGAATTCTTCTATTTTCAGGGCCTCAACGTTCGTATTTATATACTTATTACTCACCCAAATTATATTTTTTTCAGTCTTTCCTAATAAATCCTTCTTGTAAGATATGACTTTTGGAGTAGCCTGAGCTGCAAGAGAAGAGGGAGTAGTAGTATCCAGTTATCAAGGCGAAATTACGATTTATTTCAATTAATTCAAGATTCAGCGTCTAAACACATCTAAATTAGTCAAATAATGATGAATTGTCTCTATATTCATTTTTAGTGCACGAATATGATGGTGCCAATGGTATATTGAGCATGACAAGTAACTTGTTAAATAACATTCATTTACCACAGAAACTATATTCAAACAACAACCTATTTTCTTTATAGATATATATTACATTTACTACAATTGAGCAATTGTATTTTTAACAGTTTACAATAAAAATTAAAGCTAGATAATTTCATTACTTACCAAATTCATTACGTGACACTCTAACTTTTAAAGCAGCCATTTCAAAACATGCTGGAATGGCTCGATTATCAGATTCAACGAATTTTGATTGACGTGAAATATTGCCGGAATTTCGTTGTGCTTCTCGTTGATTCATTGATTCTTCACGATTTTTATTTGTTTGTATTTTTGAATCTGAATCTATGTTGTCATGGTCTGAATCTGTATATATAGATTTTTTTAAAAGATATGAGTAAACATTAAAACAACGATGTGTGCGAAAACTGAAATTTGCAAAAGAGATAGTGAAATTTATTACTTTCAAAAGTTGTACATGATAAAGTCGATCTTATTTCAGCATGATATAAACGAGTTATTTTTTGACTGATTAGTCAAGTCATCTATTATTTCAACTACCGAGTACTATTTAATAAAGACTGAGGGTCGATTCAAGGTGGCCACCATTGTTAACGTTTTACAGCACTTCCAGTTCCTTTTTTGATTTAATTGTTTGTGTCAAACGGAGTATATTCTGTGGATGCTCAGAAAAACACCATTGCATAATTTATTTCTCGATGTTAGCTTACTTCATTTGTCACCTTTTAAAATAAATCTTGCAAACAGCATTTTACTGAAACATATAGAATTGGCATGAGCTATGTAACCAATGGTTAGATTATGGTGTGTGCTACTTATATTGACATAAGTAGTATATAATGTTAGTCGTGAACAGAAGGTCTGGCAGCAGAGAGACACGAGGATCGAACAGTAAAGAATGGAAACAGGATGCAATGTGTATGAAAGTGCAAGAACAATGACGTCTGAGTCATTTTGAGACAATCGATGGACATTTTGCAAATTAAGCATTTACTTTGTGATTGTTAAATTTTATTAACAAGTCCTGTACTTTTGTGTTAAATATGTCCGTTTGTACCCACCCGTGTTCTGTTTACTACAAGCTTACTCATTAAAGCCGAAAACAGGGAAAATATATATTAATGCCTTGATTTAACATTTCAAGTACCAATAATAAGCCAAAAATAAAAAAAACATTGATAAACTTCTATAATATGTAACTAACTGGTCAATTTAACTAGTACATAATTATTATAAAACCGTTGAATGAGAAATTCACCCATAAAGTATAATAGTGAATAAAATTTAGTACACAATTGTAGTGAACAAAGACGCTACAGCACACACTAAATTTGAAATGAATATATATATATATATATGGACCTACGAATTATATTTGCTAAAGAAGTATAGAGAATAAAGAGATCAACTTTTGGATAATTACTTACTATTACAACATAATAAAAATTACAACGTATAGTTATGCTAAGAATTTTCTTCTGAAAAAAAACAATTAAATATTATTGCCAGTTTCTTCAAACATTGATTCTATGATGAATTTATTGTTTAATAAGATGTTACATCGAATGTTTTAATTTTTGAGTATATTTGTTACTAACTTTTTATTCAATGCTCAATTTATTTGAAACTATCGAGTCCAACCTCGAAATCGACACCTATATTATTTACATTGCCATTATTAGCATAAATATTTCAATTAGAAGTTCATATGCTTGATTGGTTAGCATATAGTAGTATCAAATTTTGTAATCAGCTGAAGCGATTTTGAATGACACTGTGGTTGCACATAGTTATGTTATTTTATCAAGGAATAATGATTGACTCGTCAGATTAATTGTTGTCAGTATGAATGTTACTCATTTAAACAGCTGTATAGATCAGTAAACTTGAGTTGTTTACACCCAATTGTTTTTGGTGATTGCAAAAGTTATAGGATTTAAGCAATAATAACTTGTCAAAAAGTCCGCTAAATCATTAGAAGTACCATCATTCACTTGAATTAGTAGTCTAAAATAAAGTTAATTTTCGATTATATTAAAGTTTTAACAGCCGACCCTCAGTTAAATGTCTAATTATTAAAATAAATCTGAATCAATGAAAATGTTTAACATGATACTAGGCCTTTACAATTTATAAAAAATAGTAGATCTATGTACTATGTCAATTCTAACAAAGTAGTAGAAAAATTAACATCAAACTTGTAGTTACTTAAAGAATCCTTTCCTTATACACCTCAGTGATGCTTCATGATGTATACTGATTGTCCTTGATATAACAAAAACATCAAAATCCTGTATAAATTTGAAAGCTGGAATGTTTCATTACACTAGTTTAAGTCATGTACCTTAAAATGTGTAATTCTGCAAACTTCCTAAGTTTAACGCTTATTAAACGATCAACTGTTCCTTTATTCCAGATTCCATTCAATGAATAGGACTTGATCATAGAATAATTCTGTAGACTATTGTTTGCCGCACAGTAAGAACAGCGAAACAGTAATGGCTGAAGTATATGATCTAGCTTTAATTAATTGACAATAAGAAGAGTTTAATCGTGAAATAAAAGTGAACAATGTTTTTTCATTAATGAAGTTTCATTACTCATTAGTAGCATAAATGTAAACACAATAGTCTTCTGGTGGAGTTTAGTTCTCTGAGCTGGATGGTTTGGTCGTGGAGCTTTCATCTTTCTTCTGAACGACATCATCACCACAAACTTCAGATAGAAGTGAATTTAAGGTCAACAAGAACCAATCAACATCGAGGTGCACAGAACAAGCTGTGAAATACATATGGAGAAATTCGAACACTTCACTTCTATCTGAAGTTTGTGGTGATGATGTCGTTCAGAAGAAAGATGAAAGCTCCACGACCAAACCATCCAGCTCAGAGAACTAAACTCCACCAAAATCACCCACCTGAGCTACAAATCTTCTCCACAATAGTCTTCAAATCAATGTATGTTGACCGTTACGTGTATTCTATCCAAAAGTTTGTTCATTTAGCGTTAACAGAAAATGCTGCATATTAGAACTTTTTATATGAGATATCATCCAGTTTCCTTTTCTTTTTAACCTGATCTCTTACCTAAGACATACATATGTATTAACTTTCTTATTTCATCGATAGTTACAATGAGAAACTGCATTATATTAAATATTTTGGAGTATTTAAAAAAGAAAATCTTAAAAATCACTTAAATGATTTTTCATTTCGTTTTATTGCAAAATAAATAGCATAAGCAAATTATATTTGATAAGTAGTCATAGCATAATGTAAAAAATCATTTTCAGAAATAATATCAAAGTAAATAAAAAAATGAAAATTAATTACCCATAATTGATTTTTCTTCAAATGCTCCAGGTAGTTGAAAAGTAACAGCTCTAGATTTAGTTGGTTTGAAAACTTCATTAAAAAATTTGGAACTTGAACCATCTTTTATAAAATTTCGTTTATCATGATTAATAATAGTATTATCATTGTTTAAAAGAAGTTCACAACTTTCGGGATAATATTTACTTTTTTGTTGAAGACAAAAAGAATCAGGATCTTGTTCAGTATTAATGTTTGAGCTAAGAAGACAAGATTTTTGCTTGTTAGTTTCGTTAGTAACAAGTGTTGTGTGTACCATATCAGATAGACTTGGATGAGATAATGACCGGGTTAATTCTGACGCACAAACAATAACTTTATCTCCAGTAGAACAAGCAGCAATAGATTGAATAGATCTAGGTGAACTTGATTCAGATAAAGTAGGTGAAGCTGCTGATGAAGAAGTCATTGGTGAGAAAATAGTTTTTAAACATTCATTTTCTTGACTAAGATCATCATCTTCAAGTTCATCTAGAGATTTTCGAGGTGCACAGATAAGTCCCAAAGCAAATACTAATATTAAAGGGATTAATCCTAATGCTGATAAAAACAAAATTTGAGAAAATTACTTACAAAATTATAAGTAGATTATTGTCTGATTTAATAATATAAATTGTTAATGATTGAAAATTATTTAGAAAAAAATAAAATATGATGTAATTTTCATCATTACTAAACTATGTATATTCATTTCAACATATTGTCTTTTTTCCAGATATTTCACCGTATAAAGATGAAATAAAACTACTGATTGAAATTTATGCAAGAAATGCTAATTTATTTTCTGATATACCATTTCATGATATATATACATATATTACCATGATAGAATAAGTTAATACATAAGAAAGTAAATCAGTCTATAATCAACATAATCAGCATATATTTTCCTTATTTATCTTCATGATGAATATTCAAGCCTTTAACAATAAAACTATTATTAGCTTCTCTGATAAAAATATAATGATTTTTTTATGCCTTTGTTCGATCTACCTCACTATTACCATGTTTATTATCACTATTATTGTAATTATTAGCATCCTGAAAAATAAGTATATATATGTATGAGATTGTACAGCTTTAAAAATGAATTCGTGGAAAAGAGATCTCTTCACTGAATCAATTTTTCTTATTTTATGTTTCGATGGGTATATTCCGTTTAATTTTTACTGGCCATCAAACTTTATTCCAAATTTAATTAAATATTACAAAATCATTGCCCGTCTTAACATGTTTTTAAGAGTAAACATTTTGGAACAATCCAAGACTGTAAAATTGATAAGGAGTGCACAAATTTATTTATTTCTAATTACAGGAAAAAACAGCTAGTTTTAACTAAGAAAAAAGCTAGTTGGAAAATATAGTAAACCAGAGCGAACAGCCACTACGAAGAGGGCGAACCAATCACTGAAAGTTATTAATAGTGGAACAGAGGGGTACAAGAAAAATTCAGGAGGAAGGACAAGTACCGAGAAATTGGAAAGGACACTTCATCAAGTTACAAAAGTAGGGAGATCTCATCAAGTAATAAATCTACAGATGCATCATACTACTGTCAATACAATACAACGTTTTCAACGGTAATGTTGGATCGAAATAAAGGTTCAGTATACTCTCAACTTCGACATCAACAAACCAGCTTTAGTAAGGATAGATTATGTACCGGAGAAATGCTAAACTCCTTGTTGAACAATCAATCGAAGGGAACTCATAACCGTATATCAGGTTCCTTGAATATAAAAAAGCATTTGAAAAAGCGTTTAGGATATAGTGACCTTATTGTTCATTCCTTGACAATATAGAGTACTTGGAAAGTTAGCCACCAACATACGAAACTCCTACGACGGACTGAATTAAAAAGTTGCTCATGGAGGACAGCCAACACACCCATTTTAAGTAAAGATCGATGTCAGATAAGGCTGACTACTTTCACTCATACTCTTCCTTCTGGTAGTTGACTGGATTATGAAGACCTCCACATCTCAGCGGAAACACGGAATACAATGAACAGTTTAAATGCAGCTAAATGATTCGAACTTTGCAGATGACCTGGCTCTTCTATCTCTCTCTCACACTCCCACACACACACACACACCAACAAATGTAGGTCAAGACAAACAGTGTAATAGTGAACTTTGAATTAATGGGTCTCAACATACACAAGGGAAAAGAAACATCTGCAAATACAACACAGAGAACACTAACCAGACCAATCACAGTTGATGGAGAAAGTTTGGAAGGTGTGGAAACGTTCACGTATCTGGTCAGTATAATCGATGAACAAGGAGAATATAGTGCAGATGTGGAGGCAAGTATTGGCAAAGCAAGGACAGCACTACTACAGTTGAAGAACATATGGAACTCAATACAACTGCCAACGCACAAAGAAGTCAGAATCTTCATTGCGAACGTCAAGACAGTTCTACAGTATGGAGCTGAAACTTGGAGAACTACCACAACCACCATTAAGAAGGTAGAAGTATTTATAAACAATTGTGTACACAACGTACTGAATGTTGGTTGGCTGGATACCATCAGTAACAACCTACTGTGGGAGAGAACAAACCAGCTGTCATCTGAAAAGCAAATCAGGAAAAAAACACTGGAGGCCAATAGTACAAACATGGTGAAAATCATCAAACTTCATCACTAATCGAGCCTCGATCCAGAGTTCTGAATGGAAAAGGAAAAGAGGAACACCCAACAACACGTTGCACCAAAAGCTGGAAACAGATAGGTGAAGAATTATTAGAACCTGGCAACAGCTGGAAAGAAGTGACTAGGAAAGATTAGGCTGAATAATCCTGGTCAGCAGCCTGTGCTCTACGAGGAGTAAGAGCCCTAGGTATGTGAAGAAAGTCTTAAAATAATCTGTGTCAAAATGGAAAAAAATTAGAATCCACATCATTTTAAATACCATGGTTTTACTTTTGATTTCCCATCATTGAATTTATTATTAAATATAGTGTTAAATAGATCTATTAGCACGGAATAACATTATGTACACTTGTTTAACATTTTTCATCTTTCCAGCTATTTTGGTCATCTGTATTTTTAAACTAAATAATGAGATGAACTGGTAAGCTAATCATATCACAAATTTAATTTGAAATGAATTGGTCTATTTAACTGTTATTTTTGACTGGAATTTAATCAATCTTGATTGGCATTTGCGCAATCTGTGATGATTGCCTCGATATAGCCATTATGACACAAGTTCTTATAGAATAGAAGAAATGTGGTGAGCAGTGGATTCCAGGACACCCGTCTTATCTTGCTTGGGACTTATCAGTTGGATGTACCTACATCTCAGATAAAATGAAAATAGGACGAAACACATATCCTGGATTCTACTGATAGTTACATCACGTCTGTTCTAAAAACATTAAAAACTACTTTGTGGAATATGTACATCGTCGCAACTAGTAATATTAGGTAAAAAAAAAAGAGAATTGAATTGTGTACTAAAGATAATATTATTTTGCGTATAACAGTGTTCCCTTTCATGTTTATGGGAATGCAAAAGATAATTAGGGGGTATACACTTTCACTGGATTTTGGTACACTGCATTTCATGAATTTCCTTTGTTTTCAAAAAATACTGTGAATCACACAAAAAAGAACGCAGTCTTTACAATATATTAGTAAAACAAAATATCTTTAGTAATGGAAAGAAATCATCAAGAGAGAAAAAGTGTAAAACAGGTTAATTTCAATATTTTCTTGAGATTGCTAACAAATAAATATTTCAACAGTTGAAATCGTGAGTCAATTGAAGCTAGACCACCATGGAAAACCTGGAAGCACTGGACGGCCGTTTCGTCCTAATATGGGATTCCACAGTAGTGGAGTTCAACCAGGTCTGTTGTGAGATATCAACTCACTGAAGACAATGGTGTACGGTGGTGCAATTTCGTGGATTGGTTGAAGTTAGACATTAACACCGTTGGATGCCGGCCGGATCAGTGGTCTAATAATTAAGCGCTCGCGCGCAAGACTGGTAGGTCCTGTGATCAAATCTCGCGGGGAGCGAGATCATGGATGCGTACTGCTGAGGAGTCCCATACTAGGACGAAACGGCCATCCAGTGCTTTCAGGTTTTCCATGGTGGTCTGGTTTCAATTGACTCATGATTCCAACTATTGAAATTTTTAAAGAAAATTTCCACAAAACCCCTCCTAAAAATAAATATTCCTATTTATATAGTAATAGAAACACTTCATAATTGAATAATAAATGAAGAAACAAACAGTAATAATAAAGAATTTTTGTATAGGTCTACGAGAAAAAGTCAGATGAATAGATGAAGGTTAATGTTATGCTGTTGTATTATGATACAACTCAATATATTATATTTATATTATAAAAAAGTAAAGCATTAAAAAGAGGAAACAATAGTATTTCCTTTGTATTGATTTTAGCATAAATTAAATGAAGAGAAATAAACGGACGTATATAAATGCCTTTAATAAAAAAAAGCAACACTGCAAGCATCTTATTTATCTTAGAAATATAAGAAAATTCAATAAAGTTACTAATTCACTGTTGTATGAGACCAAATAGATGGATTCAAATAGAATCTTTTTAAATACAGGAAACAAAATTTTAATTCAGTTTAAGTGAAGATAGTTTAAAAGTCTTCAATATTTTTAGGAATTAGTTCAGAATAATGATGAAGTTTAAATTTTAAGAAAAACTAACAAATTAGTGTAATAGTTAATAGCTGTTGGTTTCAATATAGAACAATTTATTTGTTTTTACCTAATAAGATAAAGTTGAGTGTTATGACTAGTATGATAATATATAACCACCCAAACGGTATCCAATTGTTACAGTTTCGATAGATACAAAATACAAAATTAATATCAAAGTTCTTTTTTAGTGAAGTCAGACTCAGTTGGGGAAAAAAAACGACATGAATGTGATAGTTCATTTTCGTTGGTATATTGGAGCACTATCTTTTAATAAAACTTCATAAAACAAATACATTTTAAGCTTTTCCTCTCTACAATAGTCAAAAGATAATTAATTTTTGTCCTGACATTATTACTTATTATTTGTCACAACAGTTATTTGTATATTAACAGTTTTCTGATTTAAAACTAAATAACTACAAGTTGTCTTATATTTATAGATTGTAAAGTGAATATATTAACTATGCTTAAAAACAATGAAGTATATATCACCAAGAATATTGATAAAATCTGAAAGAATTGGATATTTCTATTATAATAAAAACATCATCATATCACCAAATTTGTTTTTTTTCAAGTAACCGCATCTTACTCTCCAAAAAATCATTTGTTTAAATTTAGTTAAAAATGGTCATTATGATACATAATTTATTGAAATTTCAAGTATATTCCTTTGTTAACTTTATAAGTAAAAAATAAGAAAATTACAGAGAAATAAACGTATTTTTCAAAAATTGTATTACTTTGAAAAAAATCGTATAAACTATTCATATCAAATTAGTAAGTGAAGTAAAATAAACGATAACTAAATCCCTATTAGTTTTCTTATCTGCTATTTTCTTTTATGGTTATGTTTAAATGTTTTATTTCTCTAATTTTCATGATTTTACTTTCATTATTATAAATTATGTTCTTCAAAGGATTGATCATTTACAACAGTATGTTCAGAATAAATCCTAATTAATATACACATTTTTCGAAGGTCTTAACTTATTGTGTTGTATTTTTTTTTAATCTAAATTTTATTGTTTTTACACTTGTGAATATATTTCTCCTTTAATTATTCTTCATAATTCGCATGATTTTATCTATAATTTCTTATATTAATCCCTTTAATGCCTTTGATTATTGTCACAAGAAAAATATTTTGCCTTACTCTCTTCACCTTGCGTTTTGTTATTTGTACACATAACAGTTACGTGACCTTTTATTATTATTTACATTAGATAACCTACTATAGAAATCTTTACATTGCATCGGCATATGTAATCATTTGTCCATATTTCTTTATTGAATTCATCCTTAAAATAATATATATTCGGTTGTACAGCTTGATCATGAATTAGTTGGAAAAAGATCGCTTCTCTGAATTTAGATTTTTAATATTTAAAAGAAGAATTATAGATCGATAGGTTATTTTATAATAAGATTCTCATATATTGTTCAATTGTCATTTTAAGTATTTAACAAATAATTTCTTCATTGTTATAACTTGTGGCCTTGTGCTCCTATTATTATATAACGTAATGATACAGCCAATTAGAGAACAGTGATTTATCGACCGGTCTAATGACATATAAAACCCACACGAGCAGTTTAGAGTCTTTATTGGTCCTGATTCCTGCCTAGCGATGCCTGTTAAGTTCAGAACACCAATTTCAGCCTCTGCGATATGAATCATATATTTTAAACATACTGGGTATATTTGCATACCAAACAGACCACATCACTCAATAAAATAGGAAATAACATTTTTACAAGATTTAGTCAAAGGTGACTGTGAATGTGGGAGACTGTAACTAATAGACTGGATATAACTCAAGAACGGTAAATCGTATAATAATAGTCTACGGTCCAAAATAAGGCTTTTAATAAGATGAGCGTGAATACGTATAGTTTAGCTAATTAATAATTATGCAATAAAAATATATGTATCGTATCGGTCCAGAAACAGTTCTCAAGGGTTATCAATCATAATTCTCATCGAGATATAACATTCATACAACCTTGTTTCAATGATTAGAATTCAACTATTACATTTGTCATCTAAGGTACTAATAGAGTTCAGTTTAAGTGAAACTGTGGTTCATCTCGAACTCTTACGTATATCTTAATAATGAATACTCGTAAATATGAAATCAAGATTTGGGGATTTGTATGATGACTACTAAGAAGCACTTTACATAAATCTAATTATATTCCCATCTTGTTTTTACTTAATAATCAAACTATATCCTTGAAGTTAGATTATCGTTAAAGATGTTTGTTTTTGTTAAATATAGTTACCTATTTGTTTTAGGGACACTCAAAGAAGGGTAAATGCTGAAATTTCATCCCACTTTTTCTAAACGACATTAAAGTATTCTCATTATCAAAATATTTACTTACCCGTCCACGGTAGGTATACTGACCAACTGTTCAAAGGACGTCTCGGTTGAACTGAAAAATAAACAAATAAATTCTATTATAAATAGAATTTTTAAAAATTGAAATTAATTTGTGCAAATATTAAACATACTGAACAATTTAGGCAACATGATCAGTTACTTCTATTAACACGTTCCATCAGGTTTTAGAATGCGATAGTAATAAGGTAAACTGATATTTTTGGTTTGTTTAATTTCATGAACCATGATTTATTCAAAGTTTTGACACTAGGATATTTCAAAGTTTTGAATAAAGTGAAAAGAACATGATTTGAACAATCACATGAATTCATTACATTTTGAGGTTTCACACTAGCTCCAAACGGTCTAAAGTTACGAATAGTTATACTGTTATATATAAAGTTTAAAGTACCCTTTCAATGTAGATAAGCTTGAGATAATTTCACAGCTTGTTATGAATACAAGAAGGCAGGTTTAGTAATAAGAGTATCTCAAATTATGGTCGAATGATGTTTTTTCATATACCAATTTATAAGCTTTGCACTAAAACATTTGAATGGTTATGTTTTAGAGTACAGAAACATGTGATTGACAGTCAAGAGGATTTATGCAAAATTTCACATAGGTTTGATGACAGTTTTTCACAGTGGAATATGATGAAAAACTTCGTGTCGGTACTAAAGTTGATAGTTATTGTAACAAAAAGTACTATTTATTTTAAGAAGTTTATCTGCTACATTTCATAACTTAGACATCAAAAACTGTTCCAAGATTATCGTTTAGATTATTTAGAATAGATGAATTGTGGTTAGCAAGAGTATTCAGGATCCGCGTTTCCTTCAATTCGGTGCATGTCAGTTGAATTTTTACATGTATTTCAGTGTTGATGTTCATCCTGGTACTTGATTGGATTATTTTGATGCTTGGATAGAGGATAGCATGAATGGTTTGTTTTTAGTATTTATTTAAAGTATACAGGTTATAATGAATTCAGTAGATAATCTTCAATTTCCCAAAGGATCCTACTAAAAGAAGTATCCCTCAAAGTTAATAATTCATGAGGAGTTAAAACTAGTTAATTATGTATCATTCTAAAAATATTATCTTACCTACTTCTGAGTCACTTTTATTGCATATCAACTAATTTAAGGTCACACAGCCAGACACTTGGTCAAAAATAAAACATCAGTGGTTACCTGAACTCTATTTCAATATACATGTGGATAATTATAATCACGCAGTACAAATATTTTTTAATAAGTTATTTAAAAAAATCCACTTTAAATCTATGTAGAAATTATATATTTATAATTTATAAACAATTAAACCTTGGACAATGTATAGGGAAAAGTAAAACCCCTGGGATTTATTCCTCTATAATAACAACTGCTATTTGCTTGTCTATATAAATTTTTAAGTTGTATAGCATAATATTCTTTATTTTTTGTTATCATATCTTAATGAATTAGCAGTCTCTGTAATATTTAGTTACATATTTGATTTATTTTTACATGGAATGTTTAGAATCTCAGTGTTTTTGTATGAATGTCTATAGTCTTTTTATCTCCATGTTTACACTATATTCTGAATTGCATTCCATTTATACAGACAACTCAATATTAGTTCGTTGTTAATTTTCTTTAAATTTTAATTTGTGCTTAAATAATCGTTCTTTGCGCAGTAATTAGTGAACTATTTAATCACTATACTCATTATTATGATTAAAAGATAAAGTCAAACAATAATCATTATTATGAGTAGTTTCTTTATTGAATAGCCTTTCGTTACAAATCGATGCTATTATTTCCAGTATATTTCTGACAAAAATTATTTTGCATTGAATTTGGCTTAAACCTTACCATTTTTTAGAATCAATCTTTAACAGAGATTATGAAAAAGGCTGTTTCAGTCAGAATACAGAATCGTTTCACATGCTGACCGATATATATATATATATATATATATATATATATATATATATATATATATATATATCGGTCAGCATGTGAAACGATTCTGTATTCTGACTGAAACAGCCTTTTTCATAATCTCTGTGCATGTTTATTTTTAAAAAACATTTTATTTGTTTTCCACGATAAATATGACGCGTTAGACTTCTTTACCAAACATTCCATATACAATTTGAATTTAAGAACCCTATATAACTATTAAAGACTTGATTCACATTCATTAGTACTTGAGTTTTTTATGAAGATGCGATTTCAGTAGGCATAAACATTAGCAATTACCATGTATACGGAATCACAACAAATTTAATAGGAATTAGATAACAGTTCCTTAAGGAAAGGGAATCACATCATCCATGCGCGCTGTATTAATTGAGGTTTCATAATAAACAGATTTACAATAATATGTATAAAAATGACCGTTTAAACTGGTTTACGTCTTGTCTAATATATTTAACCAAATTAAAACTTAGAAAACATTTATTTAGCGGTAAAAACCTAATTGTTTCTAATTTCAATAATCGTTCAACAGAAAAAGTAATATTGAATAAAGCCATTAATAATAATAATAATAATAATAATAATAATAAAGTAATAATAACAATAATTGTTCTCCAGTTTACACTAATATACTAATATAAAAAAGAAATTCTCGTAAATTACAAAGACAAGAACGTACTATATGTATAATTACGAACAGGTGGACAACCAATTTCATCAGTTCCTCCATCAAAGCAATCATCTGCTTGATCACAGCGCATTTGACCGTAAACACAAACAGCAGTTTGATTTCCACACCAAAATCCAGAGCCTACTTCACATCGACGCATTTCTAAGAATATAATATTACGGAAGTGGGAAGTTAATTGTACAGAAAAAAAAAAACAAAGAATTTATTTTAATTACATCGCTTCTTTCTTGCACATGTGTGCGCAACGCTAATTAACTAAGTTCAAAAAATCAAAACTAAATTTTAAACAACATGTAAGGAAGGAAATGATACTTTTTAGTTTTCTTTCGTAATTATCAAAAGCTTGTTATTTAAGTCAGTTAGTAGTTAACTATAATAAACGATGGTCAGTTAATTTAGAATTGAAATTGTATCCTTGCAGAAACGAAGGACATTTTTCACGTTTTCTATGCATGTAGAAAATTAGAAGTCTGTCAGTTGGTAATTAAAACCACAAGGGATTTGAATAATATGTGAAAATAAAACTTGATATGTGCATCATGAGTCATATCAATACGCTCTAATAGTGTATCATAAGTACAAGAAGGCAAAAGCTAAAAGAATTTGGTTTGCTGTGCTCGGAAAAAAGCCTGCCTTCCTAAGACTTAGCTTCAGGGGTGATGAATTACCTGGAAAAATAGAATTCAGATTAGAGACCATAATAAAAAGAACTTATCCAGCTACCTAGCTGATCCCCTGCATCAAATGAATTACTCATTAAGACAGTTAGGTGCGGACGAACTCTCACCTTATGTTACCTCCAATCGTATCTACCATTTACTTGTACGTGCCAAAGCGCGTACATCGGAAAAAACAGGAAGAATGGTTGGTGTCCGAGTCACCGAGCACATTGCATAATACCTTAGACTGAGAAGATAATATGTCTTCAGCAGTGAGATCACTCGCCATCTGCTTGATGGTCATGGTGTTGATGTTCCAAAGTACTTGAAGACAATTAAAAGACAATGAACATCGAATTTACCACAGTTTACCGAAGCGATTATCATCGAAAGACTTAAATCGAATTAATATATCCAGAGAGATACAGTTATCAACATTGTCATGCAGTGGTGAACTCATTTACAAATGTTTGTTACGCGATTCCACTTTTCATGACATTAATGATTAATTCTCGCTCTTTATCTGGTTTGTACTTAGTTTTGTTTTAAGAGTTACATTAATAAATTATTTCTGAATAATTGTGTTTCTATGTTCTTAGTTGTTTATTCTAGAATGTTTATATATTCAACGCATAAATACTAACATTAATTAACGTATGAAAACCTCTTATCGTTCTTTCGTACTTATTGCTTTTTTCACTAGTCTTCATATATGAGAATACTATCGATGTTATGATATAAAGTATGTATACTGACTTTTAAAGATTAATACTATTACTTTTAGGTTGTAAGCAGATGATGGGAAACCGCGAAATATAGTGAATTCATGTTATTTTGCTACATGAACTATTATTCCTTTATTCAAATGTATAAATGGAAAAAATCGTATGAAGCATTCAAATTACGATAAATGTTCAAACAACAGCAAACAATTTTGATCTTCATCCCAAACTACAAGTTATCATTACCATAATATTAGTACATATCATTTCATGACATAAAACGTTATAAAATATCAATTGTTGCTACTTAAGAAAGCACTTTCCAAAGCGTTAAGTATAGCAGTACGTATACTAAACAAATGTAGAAAAGAAAAGCATGTTTTAAAAAAACATTTCGTAAGATTCAAACAATGCAGCTAAATTTGGGTCAAGATTTAGTGTTCAGTAATTCTAATTTAACATGATAGTAATTAATGCAGTCCTGTAATCAGTTAAATATATTTATGAAGTGCAACTTATATGTGAGTAATATTTTTCAGAATTTAAATGTAGTTGTCATGATTTTACGCAGCTGCGAATAGTAGGAAAGATAATGCGGATTCATGTTTCATGCTTGTTGGCACTCGTCATTAAGACACCTAGAATCTTGAGGGAACTGATGCTCTTAGCGGGATTTGAACCCAAATCACACAGATTCACAATCTGAGACGTTACCAATGAACGATTCAGACTGCAAATGGTCTCCTGTAGGACTAATTTATTAAGAGTGGTATATCACTGTATAGTGTCGATTCTCTCAAGATTGCATGTACGCCGTTCTAATGAGGTTTAATTAGCAGGAAACAGAGCCAAGTTTTCCTGTCAACCACTTCACATCACCAGGTATCAAAACATAATGCGCGCGACGCCAATCTTACTCATTTGAATTTGACTAGTACCAAGAACTAAACAAACATAACATTGGTTACTACTCAGTTAACAATTAATGTATATAGTCGACATGTATGAATGAAATCCTCAGCAATTAATTCAAAATTGAGTAGTAGTAATTTGCAACGAAATCAGAAAATTAGAGGAGACAATCAGAAGCTTACTTCTTTGTCTATTTTTGGAAAATCGTGAGATCTGACTACGATAGTGGACAAATAAAAACGAGGATTTTATAATACATTTGCTTCGAAATCAGCAAGCCAATTCATTTCATAAATTTTCCTTTTCTCCTACGTTTATACAGAGAACTTTGAAGAAGGCTTGATTCGGAAATTTATATGTTCAGAACGTTAAATGTTTAAGACATTCATGTATTCATAAGTAATAAGATTGTAGTTCTTTAAAAGCGTAAGTTGACAGGGCCACTAAGTAATCATTTTAAAAATATGCTTCGTAAAGAATGATTTTGATGCTTTGGAATCAATTAACAGACATTTAAGAAAAGCAAAAACTTTCTTTCCAGTATACAAACCTTAAATTTCAAAGTATCAATAACAATCTATTTTTTCATAAATACTAATCCCGAATTATTAGAAATTTAGATATTTTACTATTTCACAAAATTTATTTTGCTGATAAGTTTAGCTTTCTTCCACTATCATTCAAAAATTACCACACTTATTCAATCTAGCTAATTTGATAAATACTGTTATATTTCTTCAGAAGCATCAGGAGGGTACTGGAAGTATGAGTTCAGTTATTTTACAACGAAGCCACAAAAGAACACTTAGCTTTAACAGTTGTTTCTTGCAAGTAAATGTTCCTTGACACCACGTTCTATAAAAATACCAAGTTAACGTGTTAGGGTAGCAGTATAAATAAGAAGGCAAAGACTTGAAGCTTTCTACTGTGAAATAATAGGATTAAAGTAAAGTACTGCGCTTAACATAAACCACTAAAGTATACAGTTTTTTATTCTATGATTTCAATCTTCAGTTACATTATGAAACATTTTTGATTCGTGCTTCTGAATCAATTCGTTAATATTAAGACCGGTTCGGAATTATATTTAAGGAAGTAAATGGAAATGTATAATGACACCATAAAAACATGTTCATCAAGATAATCATCAGACAGTTCTGACCTTAGTCTCTCGCTTTTTTACAACGGTCATATTATTAACGGTTTAGATAGACTGAAATAGGTTTCATAAACATCTATACCACCACCTCTTGTCTATCTACCAGTGGATTTTTACATGAATGACATCGTCATCAAAAAAAATTCAAGAAACGAAGTCAGGATTAAAGGTAATAACTATCATTAGAAGTCCCATACAGATTAGATTTATTACTTACTATCAGTAAGACTGAAAGTTCCTTCGAATCGCATATATGCTGACATTTGAACATCTAGTTTAGATTTTACATCCTCAATTGAACCGGAATCTGTATGCCAAACCAATGACACAATACGATGCTTTGAATCGATGATTTGCGGAAATGTGAATGTACAGGTTAAATTTAACTCCTTTAATAAAACAATGGTTGGAAAAAAAAAGAATTTATCCAGTTCATCAAGTAATTTGCATCTAAAGGTTTAATTTATCTAAGTGAATAAGTACATAAAATAGTCTGTAAAACTAGTTAAAAGGAAAGAAAAGAACCACTTTAAATTTATTGATAATTAGTCACTGTTTTATACTTTTGGGACGTTCGCGCATACCAAATTAAAATTGATCACTTTAACAAATCCGGTTATCTTGGAAAGATTATTAAGAACCTGCTACTTACTTTGTCCAACCTCAATCAAACCTATCAGTTAAGTGTAAAAACTTCCCTAATGACTATGACCATAATTAACCGTTTCTAGGTCTTTCGTGACTAATTTCATATTTTTATTGCCCACTGTCAATGGATTTGAATTAGAGTTGCATTGTTTTTCGCGTGATCAGAAAAAATATTAGATATCCACATTTTAGTTATAAATCCTCATTTGACCTAAATACTAAGACTATATAAATTCTATAAGTTATTGTAAACTACCTAATCCAAAATCTTACAAGCCTTTGCGACTGAAACCATTTCAACAGCAACGATGGTGGCTGGTAGTGGAATCCAGGATGTGCATTTCGTTCTATTTGGGACTCATCAGCTGGGCGTACCTGCGTCCCAAAGTTACTTTACACTCCAGGACTTGAACTCAGTACTATCCGCCTTAAAGTCTATCGCGTTATCCACCTAGCGACTGAATCCAGACGGCCTATAGCACACATGGTTTCCACTGCTAGCCACCATCATTGCAACTTATAATGCTAGACTTATGGCTATAACGAAGCAATTGGTACAGGATGCACACATGCCAATAGGAGACTGATCGATGGAAGGATTCAAACAATACTGTGATTAAAATGTTAACCTTTAAAACAAACATCTGACTGAATTACAAATCTTTTCGGTCAATTTGTTTGTGGGATTATTTTATTATCCTTGTCGACTATCCCTGTTCAAAAGGTCAGTAGATTACAGTTTTATATTTTTGTGAGTACAAAATAAATCTAGTAATTCAGTGTGTTAGAAATACTATGAAAAGGCACATTTTTAATAGTTCACTGATTATTATATACTTATTTCCGTTTAGCGAACCATTATACTTTGATACAACAAAATGGAAAATCCAAAACGTAAATGTCAGGAAGTAATGAAATCGGAACAAATACTTCAACAGACACGCTATTTATAGTAGGGACAAAAATCATTTTCTTCTTAAGAATTGAAATGAATCACTAATTCGTTTGTACAGTGATGAAAACTTTACAAAATGCTAAGTTTTATAGAAATTAATTTGTGAAAAAAAGTGTAAATTTCTTTAAAATTTACTGTATTTCGTCTATTAATAATCATAAAAATGAGTAATCCTAAAACTCATTATTTTTCACCGTTCATTTACTAAGTATAGATATTCATATATTCCGGAGATTTGTTTCTGTTGACCATACCATTGATAATAAGTTCATGATATATTGCACTTGATAAGTTGTACACGGTTAGTTGACTGTAGTCAAAGAAAAAACATGATACCTTGTCTAATGAAGTACAATGTTTTTACGAAGATGAAAGTGAATAGAGATGAAATACTTTGGTTGGGTAGATGGAAACCTTGTATCAACAGCAGAATCCATACTTTAGTACAAGAAAAGTAAGCTAATGATTTAACATTTACTTCCAGTTAGTTTGGATTATCAGAAATACTGAAGTTTAAACGAGGCACTGGATATCTACTGAAACAGTAATTTTGCATAACTATTTATAGCTAAATATAAATACTTATCACTGTTAGTCAGTTATCCATTTAAAACAATCTAAAACATGAAACTGTACTAGGCCATCGAATCACATTTTTGCAGTAAGATAAACTTAAAAAGATCGACATTAAGCCGCTTCAGAAATTTTGTCGACTACTCAAGACTTAAAAATAAATAACACATAAACATTTTATAAAACGATCATCAAACAAACATTCAACAAAACATCCACTGAACAAATGTAAGTGGAAGTTCTTAACAGAAACAGAATCAAAGGCGTTTGTTGCTTGAAGCAAAATAAAACCAGTATTAAATAATTATTTCCATAAGTCTAAATAATTCATAAAAAGAATGCTTCGAAAATTGTCACTTGAATGAATATTTAGTTAATTACACCCGAATAAAAGCGTCAATAGCAAACGACCAAGGAGTATATTTTAGAAATTACGGGTACTAAATATCACTAGTAATTTATATTATAGTTATTTTTCGGTACATTTCAGGGTACACTGCAGTAAATTATAAAGAAATTTACCCACAACAATCATTGTATGGAGATTTAAAAATGTACCGAGCATTTCCACTTATCATTGTTTTGTTTAGTTCGACAAAACTCTCTATAAATTGAATGTTCTTCGTTAAGTCTGAAACAATCTTCCCGTCTGTTTGCTGAATACAATCCACAAATGAGGCTCTATTTTTGTCAATACGACTTGAATTGCTTTTTAATCGATTTGTCTCCATTGGACAGCATTACCGGATTTCATCAAGTTATCAATGGACATTTCATAAATGAAGATTTATAAATTTTGGTGTCGAATGTTTCTTCTGCGTTTTATTCTTTATGGTATATTAAAAATGATACTGGGTTAAAAATATCCGGTTGTATACGTGATACCCGCATTCAGCCAGTCATACATTTTAAAGGTTGTTCATATACTGATCGCTTAAAGCTTATCCATTATTGTCAGCTTCACTCTCACCTGCTATTTCCTGTTTAAGCTTACATATATAAAATAATTCATTATATGTCGTTGGAAGTATCCTAATTGATGGTTAAAATAAAAAACTCACTGTGGTCTATTATAAAATATTTCTTACTGTTATCAAACCATGTCACACTCACACTTGTATTTATTATCAAAGTGCAAACTATTGGACGTTTTATTCTCCGGTTATAGTTTATTATAACGCAGAACTGGCCTAAGACATCAGCAGTAAAACTTTATTCTGTGTAAAAAAACAAATTAGTATAGAACTTTGTAGTTATAACTAACTCGTATTTCATTTTGATACACAAACACCTAGTATGGTTGTGTTATATAGATGACTGTTTGCTCAATACTCTACACTACTTTCTTTAAACGTTTATTTTAAATTTAAACTGTTGAAATATAATTTCACTATTGACTGAATGCTTGTCGTTTCAGACAGTATTAAGACCACGGCAGCCGTAAAGTGTATTTTGTATGTATACCTAGTGAAGACAAAACTATTTCATTTAGATGAAATACTTTTAAGTTTTAAATTTTAAGTGTAATAATAGAATTTGACTAGTATTCAGCAAGTCGATAGACAAGTTTTTTATCTCTGTAGATTTCCGTCTGTCTAACTTTAAAATATGGTTTAAAAATGTTTCGTAAACTCAATTCCTGGCATTCACATACATTTGCACCTTAATGTTCGATGTTAAATTGGATTAACGCGATTCAGAAAAGCGTATTTTTTAAACTTCCATTGATTATTTCATCCAACGACGGCTCCAATGAATTCACCGGACATCGAAGCGGCACACACAGATATTCCCATAGACGTCAGCCCACCAACGAAGGAAGAAAACAGAATGGCTGTCAAACAAATCAAGAGCAGGAAAGCAGCGGGACCGGACAACACTGAAGTCAGACATCGAAGTAACTACAAACATGGTTTATCTTATATTCAAAAAGATTTTGGAGGAGGAACAAATGCCGATGGACTGGAAAGAAGGACACCTCATCATGATTCCAAAGAAAGATCTGATCAAATGTGAAAACTACAAAGGAATCACACGACTGTCAATACCAGGGAAGGTCTTCAACAGTGTTGTTGAACCGGAATAAAGACGCAGTAGACGCCCAACTTCGAGATCAACAAGCTGGATTCCGTAAGGATCGATCATGCACAGACCAAATTGCAACACTATGGATCATCGTCGAACAATCAGTTGAGTGGAACGCGTCGCTATACATCAACTTCATCGATTATAAAAAGGCATTTGACAGTGTAAATAGGAGGACGCTGTGGAAACTTCTTCGACACTGCGGAGTTCCTGAGAAAATTGTCAATATTATCCGGAACTCATATGACGGACTACAGTACAAATTAGTGCATGGAGGACAGCTGACAGATGCATTCCAAGTGAGGACTCGAGTAAGACAAGGCTGTCTACTCTCTCCCCTCCTTTTTCTTCTGGTGGTCGACTGGATTATGAGGACCTCGACATTTGAAGGAAAACACGGAATACAATGAACAGCTCAGAACCAATTACACGATTTGAACTTCGCAGATGACCTGGCCCTTCTATCGCATACACACGAACAGATGCAGACAAAGACAGCCAGTGTGGCAGCAGTCTCTGCATCAGTATGCCTCAGCATACTCAAGGGTAAAACCGAGGTCCTCAAATTCAAGGCGAAGAATAGCGATCCAATCACTCTTGTTGGCGAAACTCTGGAAGATGTAGAATCCTTCACATACCTGGGAAGCATAATCGATGAACAAGGAGGTTAAGATGCAGACGTAAAGGCAAGGATTGGCAAAGCAAGAGTCGCATTCCTACAATTGAAGAACATATAGAACTCAAAACAACTTTCAACCAATATCAAAGTGAGAATCTTCAATACCAACGTCAAGGCAGTTCTACTGTATGAAGCTGAAACTTGGAGCACTACAACAACCACCATCAAGAAGGTACAAGTATTTATAAATAGCTATCTTCGCAAGATACTCAACATCCATTGACCGTATACCATCAGCAACAGCCTTTTGTAGGAGAGAACAAATCAGCTTCCAACTCAAGAAGAAATTAGGAAAAGACGATGGAAATGGATAGGACATACATTACGCAAATCATCAAACTGCATCACGAGACAAGCCCTAACTTGGAATCCTGAAGGGAAGCGGAAAAGAGGAAGGCCTAAGAACACATTACGTCGGATAATAGAAGCAGATATGAAAAGGATGAATAACAACTGGAAGGAGCTGGAAAGGATTGGCCAGGACAGGGTTGGACGGAGAATGCTGGTGAGCGGCCTATGCTCCTTCACGAGGAGTAACAGGCGTAAGTAAGTACGTTAATTATTTCATACCTGTCGGTTTGCGATAATTTGAATTTTTAAATCAGATGGGAACGATATTTATGGCTGAACAATATGGGTTCATTTATTTTGAGAACTATCTTTAACTCCTTACGACTTATTGACAATATTAATAATTCATTGATAATTGTTTATACACTTTCTATTGTATCAATAAAGATTAATGAAATCTTAAGGAATATTGAAAAACTCTTGAAAATTTTCTAACGATCGGATGTTTATATATTGAGTAATGTAAAGAAGCTGGATAAAAAAGATTTAAAACACGCAAAGACAAGTTTCTAAAAAATGAGATAGACTGTAACTATGCTATATTAACATTCCGAAAATTAAATTATATAAAAGATGTAGAAATTATAAATATTATTGACAAAGCACAGGTACTTATGAGCTAAGATAAGTTATGTGTATACATTATTCATCAAAGACATAGGAAACAAAGTCGAATATATGTTGAACACATAATATACCAGGTGAATTCCATACAATTTTCCACAACCACCAGACAACCGAAAGCACAAATAAAGCTTGGTCTGTGATCAATGTTAACGGAAGCTTTTTATCACATACAACCCAAGTCTGTGGACAAAAGTACTTTTCACAATTTGCAACTCTTAATAAATTAATAAGAGTTGGTCGATAACGTCTAGAAGTGATAACTACACCCTAAATTCTGACATTTCGTCTAAATCTTTTTCAAATATACGAATGTCTAATTCTGAGCAAACCTGGATAGTCATAAAAATAGAATGAAAGGTTAAAAAACGTGCACTAGTTTCTCAAGAAAAACCCATTACCCTAAAGATGGAAATCCTTTCTTAAAACAGTATGTTATTCATTTTATTTGATCAATAACACGTGTCACTATTAGATAAATTTAAAGTAAACTCAGTCAATTGCATTCAGACCCAAAAACATGCTACAAAAAGAAGTATAGTGAAAAATTCCATTCAAATACTTACATATGGAAGTAAAGTAGGTTGAGTGATTTCTTCGGGTATAAACCCAATAGTCAAAAAATCATTGCAAGAGGTAAAATTAATAGAAACCCGTAGTCTATGGAACCAGTATGACGTATGTCCTTCAGGATAAGAATAATGTAGAAGTCTTCCATTTGGATACACTTTTATCTAGTTTTGTAAGTGAAAAATAAACTGCAAAGTAAACATAAAGGAAGCAAGCACAATCTACATTATGAACAAAATGTGGTAGATAAAACACCCACAAATAGGATCTTAACGTTACTTGTATATGTAAGAAAAATGGTTTCTGACAAGCAATCATTACACCTTGACTACTAAATTTCCAAGGGTAAAAAATGAGGTCAAACCAAAAACTCTACCAAACCAACTTCAGCAAACCTAAGAACATAGATTTTGTAGTATGGTTCAATAGGGTAAGTTGTATCCAGTGTTGAAATAACCAAAACTTAGAAGGAAAAATTCGAGGTGATCATTCGTCTTGAGAAAACCATCAAAGTATATCTAGCAAAGAGTGACTGAGATAGTAACAGTATTAGCGATAGACATCAAATATATGATCCAAGAATATATCTAAAGATTAAAATAAGGAAAACCAAAATAGCGAACAACCTATCATCAATAACTGCAAAGAACATTAACATAAAAGAAAAACTTTGAAAATAAGGAGTAAAATAGTGAGATACAAAAGACGTAATAAATTTGAGATTTAGGATTTGAAGAAAGTATAACGAATTGTACTGTTTTACTAATACTCAAATTTGAACCTTGAGATATTAGGCCTTTAAACACTAGCTGCGGTCATTATGCTGATTCCAGGTACATGTTTACGATTGAGAATAGCTTTCAGGCCAACAGTTGATAACTGCAGTGGCTGATGAGATGTCCTATTTTGTCCAGCCTAGGACTTCTTACAACATGATTTCCAGTTAATCACCACTGCAAATATTGGAGGGTTGTAGCTGAAAGTATATTTTGATTAGTTAAACACATACTAGCCCTGAATTAAAATTATTTCGCCGTTTTCACTGTTATAAAAGCCCTATGAAATTTTATAAAATCCCGAGAAGTCTGAAATACCTTGAAGAGGGGTGCCATTCCTATTTATGCAAAGAGTATAAGAATATATTGCCACATATTGTTAAGCCTCTCCATCAATTGGCATGGATAGTGCATGTCTATTCATTTGAAAAGCAAAATGTTACTAATTTCTTCATCTGCTTAACTGTTCAATCGGCTTATTAGCAGATTAATGAAAATATACTAATAGTCTAAATAGTTAGTTGATCCTGTGCATATAGGGAGAATGATTGTGTAAACAAGAACGGCCTTTGATTCCATCTGTTTAAAGTGTTTAAATTCTGTAAATTTCCTAGTTTAGTAATACATTAACTCAGTATATACTTAAATTAACATTAGTTCGAATAGTCCAATAATATATAAGAATAAAATCGCCAGTCTGAAAAAATGAGTGTTGATATTGAGCTGTTTCCCATCTCACATAATTCGTTACTGTTAGAAAGTTAATTGACAAATATATAGTAGTAGAGTTATGCTCACCAACCTTACAAGCATATAACAAATTGTTCCAAGACGAATTATATGATCCGGTGACAAAACTCATCTGCCTAGAAAGCGAAAATCTTCTAAAGCCAGGGTGACTCCGGCAGTAATCTGAATTGTCTGGCAATATTACATCTACAGTACCGTTTAGTTTAGTGAATGTACGTACATTCCTCGTAGCTTCCGAATACCACAGAGTAAACCTGTAGACTTGTTAAAGCCAGTGGCAATAAACGCATGTCAGAAATCTCATGAACACCGACGATAACATAAAATGAACCTGTGTTTTCATGAGGCTTGAAATACCGCTAAAAGTAAATGTATGAACTTTATATGTGTTTGACCCGAAAAACAAACCCTAGACTATATCATTTCTTCAGCCTGTAACATGTAATTTACATAACTTTACGTTGAAAAACTTTTATCTTTCATGTCATTTGCCATTTACTGTATCGACAGAACGTTCTCTATTTCAAACCATAGTCAACAGTAACCAAAGAGGATGAGCTGGTTCATGGTCATCTGATCACCACGATGGGATTAACCAAGTTAGGTAACAACCTCCGGTTGTGAGTGAGATGTGGTCTGGGTAGATAATTCATTCCTGTCCAGTTTGGACAAATTTAACTATCCACATAATTGATTATAAGCCTTTAATAACTTTTAGTTCTATCCATCCGACACTCTCACCGTAATTTAGGCAAGCACCAGTACCGTCTGTTCACTTACCTTAGATTAGATTATAGATGCAAGTTTTGTGTTTAATCGACGAAATGTAATCGTATTAAGGCATTTGAAAAGATATAGGCGGAAGTTACAGAAACGTGGCTCTAAATAAAATGAGGTGTTATGCATCTTTGGTTATCATGAACTGAAACGCTGACCTGAGCCAGAATATGTGGTTACGTTACAAATTTGGAGCTCAAATGGACAGAAATGTTTTCTCCTTGAGTCCTGGATATGTTAGATCCTATAGGCATACATCTTTCTATGCGATTGCTTCAATGCAATATAATGGAATGCCAATTTATCTGTTAAACCGAGTTTCAAGGATCAGATAAATAATCTGTTGATATCGTCCATGAGCAAATATTTTCTGACATGTAAATGTCAAGCAAATGTAAATTTAATGATGGATTAGATCGTTTTCGAACACTGGAGTTTTGTCTGAGGAATAATTTCCTATTAACATTTCTTGTGCATCTAATACACAAACCTCTGTGTTATTGATTGATGAGGTTCGACTACACTACGTGATGCGACATTTACAAAGCGTGTCAAACACATGAAGAAGGCTTCGAAAATACACGAGAGAGCTATATGTTGTCAGAACACCACTAGACGGAGTATTTAGAGGTTCAAGGCACTTATTGCAATATTCCCTACCCCAACAGCGAAAAGTCTGACCGATAAGATTCATGCCAAAAGCCTAATTTGCCGATTAAGTATAGTTTTCACCTTTTTTTCGCTGATGCCTTAGCAATTAAAGAGGTAGTGGAACCATAGGTAGAAGTGGCTAGGGACTTATTTTCTTCTATTGCCAAGATAACTGATAGAACTCAATTGATTGAATGTGAAAATTCAAGATATCTTTGGTTAGCTTATTCACAAAGAAACGATGAACTTGAATTTAGTCTAACGAAACTACTTCAGGAAAGTCAAAGTTGATTGAAGTGTGTGTAGCGGTATATAAATCCCCAAAATAAATAGCTCTGTAAGTCTTCGACATTGGATGCTGACCATATGTTTTAGTGGACTCATCTAGCTGAAGGCGCTCGGTCATGCATCCGCACCAGATCACGTGTGGTAACGCTGTGCTCAACATCTACCGCAATCGCTAGCCAGATTAGATCAGAGATTTCCGATATATTGGTAATCGCCAAATACAATCTTTCGATCTCCTCGACTCTGTCTTTTGATTTCTCACGGTGGGAACAAAGTATATTAGTAGGTGTTACTGGTAGAAGCGTTCTCAAACACTGAATACCTGTTTCATCCTCATGTGTCTTCCGAGAGTCAATATTTTTGGAATTCTGTAATCCATCATCTTTCGTTAACAAAACTACATCAGTGTTCTAGATCAAGCTAATTTCATCATCTTTTAAGGTGAAATTAAAATTATCCACCAAATATATTTTCCCCACTTAAGTCCCACAGAAGCTAACAGTTCGGCAAAGTTCTTTGCACATGTTTTGAGGATCATATTTTGATTTTGTGGATGTAACAGAACAGAAATTAACTTTCTTACAATATAAATATAACTTGAAAGTCTCTGGCTTAGTATCTCGGTCGTTAGAGCGGTCACCGAATTCATTCGGCGATTAAAAGTTCAATTTATAAATGTTAATCCTGTTCCGGCATTTAAACTCAGCGTGTCATGAACTTAACGAGTTAACAAACCATGAATATCAGGCTCCTAAGACAGTACCTGTAGTACGTAAAATAGTTGAATTTTAAACCTACTGTAATAATATAGATAAAGGCTATAGGTCTTTTAGGTAGGCGGAATAACACTACATCTAAATCAGACTATTTGTTATTGTAAGCACAACTTGGACATTGAACGGTTGATGCAAATTATCCGGGAGATTTAAATAATGTAATCTACGGAACTTACACTTTTGTTGGTCAGTCATCTCTTTTATTTACCTCAGTAATATTAATAATAATTTATTCTCAAATAGCAGTTTGTTACATGATGCATGCCAGTTTACATTCAAGATCAAATTGTTACAAATGATACAATATCCACTGTAGTTAACTACGTAGCTGGGTTGATAATTTATAAGATATGAATCTAAATGGTTTTAATCAGTACCACAGTTCGCGCGCTTCATGAAAGTCGCGTTGCGAATGTGCAATTGATGGCCAAGAATGGGTACATTGAAGTGGGAGCTTTTAGAAGTCGCAACCTTGTGTCCCTTTGGAATATCTAAAGCCTTTAGGATGGTTTCGGATAAAATCACCCGTTCCATATCACAAGGTGGCTGAAAGAGGGAGCAAGTAAAAGAAAACACGAGAGGCAGAGTAGCCAATATTCACGAAGGAATGTTTAAGGTATGATTACCCAATCTAATTTTCTTTTATTAAGGTATTTGTTAAGCAAGAGCATTTTAATAGGCTAAAGAAAATAAGTGTAAACAAGGTGTGTGTGGACATACAACTGACAAATGGAGGCGATTCAGGAAGAAGTTGAAAGTATGAGATTATGTGTGATTATAAAATATAGTGTTAAAACAGTATTGTGATATACAATTGACTATCTTCCTTTTTTATCGAAGCTGTTGGAGCCCTTTTCATTTTTTTGTATTATTATTATTTTTTAGGTATCATAGGGTCTTGAGTAGGCTTCGTATATTATCGTATTGTCTAGTTTGCTTGTAGTAGGATAACTGGGTAGGAAGTGAAACCAATTCAACGTTCATAACACAATTTAATGGGGTACTTTGCATGATAAATCAGCATTAATACCTTAAGTTCGTAACATCCCACTAAACCATAAAGAGCCGTAATTAAACAAAATTAAACTTTCGTGCCTGTAGGTAACCCTCTACCTATTGATGGAAGAAACCAGACTAGTTGTGAATAGGTGTTTATTTAGATCTTCGAGTGGTCACGGTGGAGCGTTGGATAATCTGTTCAGACAAACAAAGCGTCGGTTCGATTAATCTATCTATCAAAAACATCTTAGTTCTATTTTCACAGCCCAAGGGAGAATTATCAACTCGCTCAGTGTTTGACTTCAAATAATTAACGACTAACTCCGTCGGCAATTGACGATAGTCCATGAATGTCTCTCCACTTACTAGCTTGACATCCTATTTTGTAGCATGTAATTTCTTCTACAACTATTGCGGATGATTTTCTATGTGCTTGCAAGAGAAGGAGTGTAGGGAAGTGAAACAAGAATATCCGAGAAAGTGCTGCGAGTGGGCCACCCAACACCATGTTGGTGAGGTACGATTTTTCCATGCTCTGTCCAACTATCAGGTGTTTACTCACCTGCATCTTGAGACGCCCTCAAGTAAAATGTAAAGAAGAATCTACTTCGAAGGTAATGATTAAAAACCAATCAAACCTGATGAACTGCTCCACTGCCTACATAAAATAATAAGGTACAAAATAGAAATACATAAATATAAATCATAATTGTTCGGTTCCACGCAAGTGATTGGCCTTCAGAACGGATTGGTAGTCTGGGAGGAAATAGACATAGTGTAGACATCTTGTGTACGAAAAAGTATGAAAACAAAAAAACAATACTCTTTTGCAGTGCATTTATTTATTATTTTTTATTATTTATTATTAGAAGCTTTATTCAACATTATATTTTTGATACAACATAGAATTCTCAGCATAAAGTATTTCAATAAGTTTATTTTTCTTATACCTTGATCGATTGTGACAATAAATTTTGAATCATGACCAGTTAGGTGTTAGGAGTTCGGTAGCCCACATTTGATTAATATTCATTCGTTTCAATGTATATTGCCAGCCACCATGATGTCGCTGATTGTACCTTTTTGTATCCCGTATAGCGAAAGGTTGTAAACTTTTCATAAACGCGCCTGAATAGATTGTGTGCGCAATAGACATATTGATGTGCTAAAACAAACAACAAAACAGATAACTTGATGAAATATGTAGATCGGAGGAACAGGTAGCCCAGATATTCAAGTAGGCCGCCGAGAATTTGCTAGAATTTGAACTCCGTATCAAACTTGATCAAATGTATGACTTTCAGTTTATATTAACCGCCCTTCATAACCAGGTGCGTAGCCACAGGTGCATACGATTACTCCCCAAAAACGGATAAGAATACACGGTTAAGGCGGAAAAGAAAGTTATGAATAGTACGAGGATCAAATACACTTGTGTCAGACACTCGGTGCTCATTCGATGTAGGTATGCATGATATATTGTAGCCATATTTCGTCAACTCATCTAGGTAACGAATTGGTTTGCGCCTTAGTAATGTGTAAGTCTTATTATTCATAAGTAATCATGAATAGTTACTCAGTGTAAGGAAATACTGTAGTCATTCTACCTATGGTCTGATGTGGTTCATTAGCTAAGCTCGCGGTCTAGCATTCAGGAAGGCGGAGGTTCGGGCGAGTGTGTAGCCGATACTTTTGTCCACAAAACCCTCTTGCATACGATGTTTGTTGACCGTAAGTCGCTCAGATATGAGAAAAAAATGACAATAAGACGACAGATTGATATGCCGAAGTGCCATATTGGAACACTGCGGTAGCTGCCTAAATTGTAAACAGTACAAGTTCTTTGTTCATATTAATAATAATACAATAGAAATGCTACAAGTTTGGTAGATTTC